GCTTCTTTGCTTTCTTCCCCTTTCTTCTCAGAAGTTACTGAAGCAATTGATTCTTTACGATCATCAGCCTTCAGTGTCAATGGTTGTTCATCAGCTTTTCCTGTAGCTGACTTCTCACTGATAGCACTTGCTTGAGATGCTGGTCGAGAAGCTTCTTTGCTTTCTTCACCTTTCTTCTCAGAAGTTGCTGAAGCAATTGATTCTTTACGATCACCAGCTTGCGCAGAAATCTGATGATCATCAATTTTGTCTACTTTTGTATCTGCAGTTATATGCGCATGCGAATCCTTTCGTTCTGATCTTTCAGTAGTCGGCAACAATTGTTCATGGTGATCATGTTCATCATGATCTAAATCGAGTATATTGGAAGTTATGGATTGACTTCTTGAGTTTACTTTTTCAATAATAATAATAGAACTTTCATCTTTTGTATAATCTTTTTCACTAAGCATACTTATAGCAGACTCTCGTCTTATTTCCGTCAATTCGTGTTCTTCCCTTTGGAAACGGGAAATAAAACTTTCTGTGGTTTTTGGTAGGTTTGATTCTTTTTCAGGAATTTCATTCTTTTCTTTTTCTTCCACAGATAAAGTTGATGTTTTAAGCTCCGGAGATGATTTTCCAGACGAAGGTGGTGTTTTGGGGGTTTTAGTTTTTTCATTCATAATTTCCGATTGTGGCATTGCATCTGAAGAATAAATCTTTTCTGGAGTTGAAGCCCCTGCGAAATTGATAGTGCCCTGTGGACAAATTTCTGTTTCTACTCCACCGTCTTCGCTGCTAGCAGTGACAAGCATTCGTTGAACTGTTGGAGCAGCTTCTTGTTCATTTTCAATTTCTTCTTCATCTGAAGGTTTGGCTGATAACCTTCTTTCAAGTTCTTGTTCGTCAAATCCAGAAATAATTTCTTCAAGATCTTTATCAGTTTTAAGAACTTCTGCAACTTTCGATACGATTGCCATAACATCTTCTGGTGTTCGAGCTCGAGGAATTTTAGGAGATGCACTTAATCTTTCAACATCATCTGACAACTGTTTAGGTGGAGGAGAAACACCGTGTTCGTCCTCTTCCTTAATATCATTCAAACCAACATCTTCAATAGGAGTAAACTTAATTTCTTCAATTTTATACGATGATGGCTTTTGATCGTTTCTTACGTCCTCGAATTTTGGAACTTTTTCATCAGTTACAGGAGATTGAACAGTTGTGATATGTGTTTCTTTTATTCCTTTATTCAATATTGAAGCGATTTCTGTTCGTTGAGTTTTTATTTCTTTCTCAACAATTTTTTCAGCAACACCAAGCTGTAGTGGATCACTTAAAGATATCTTCTGATCTAAAGCTTCTTTTCCTTCTGTTTCAATTTGCTTTGCAACTGCAATTGCTTCTTGTTTGTCACTGCTTTGTCTCTTTCCACTATACTCGACGTAGCCTTGATAATCAACCACTTCTTCATGCATTGGCAAATCGGCCACTTCATCAGGTGTTTTGACAATATCTCTTAAATGTGGGACAGCAGTAAAACCAACTTTTTCTTCTTTATTTAACGGTTCCAAGACTACTGGAAGCTTTGTTACAACAACTTCACTTTCCTTAGTTTCTTCCTTGATGTACTTCTCTTCTACAGCCAAATCTTCTTTAATTTCATCAAGTGGTGGTCCATCTTTGACTTCATCTTCAGGCATTGTAGGTGCAGTTGTGGCACCAGAAGTGGCAGAGAATTTTTCTTCAGGCTGACTTTCAATCATAATTGGATCAATGTCATCTTTAGCACCTTCTTTTTGATCGTCTTCTTTAGTTTCTGATGTTCTTTTATTACTGCTTAATTTATCATCAGGACTAGGTGCCGACATTTCTTCAGTTTTCTGTAGACCTTCGAGACTAGTTTCCATTTTGCTTTTAGCGATTTTTGTTGCTGATGTCAATATTTCTTGAACTTCAATTTTAATTTCACCAACAAGAGAATTTTTCTCATCGTCATCGTCAACCTGAATAATTTCTTCCTCGTTTTCACCAACAGGTTCTTTTTCTTTCGAATCATCTTTAAGTTTCTTCTCAGAATCATCAGAATCTCTTTGGACTCTTGCAACATCTTCTTCTTCTTTCTGACTGACGGGACCATTAATGGAATCTTCTGTGTAAGGTTCTTCCTTCTCAATTATAAGATATTCTTCTTCTTCTTCAACTTCAGTTGTGCTTTCATGCAACTCTCGATGTTCCATGATGATTCCATGAGTTTGCTTTTTACTTTGATCTTTCTCAAAAACTGCCTCAATTTCTCGAACAGCATCTTGTTCTTCCTTAAGATCAATAAGTTCCTTTTGTGGTGATGGTTCATTTTCAACACCTGGCAATACTTTCTTCGGAACATCATCAGCGCTTGGTGTTGAAACTAAGCTTGAATCGGTTGTTCCATTCTTATCCAATTTTGAAGCTTTCTTGACAGCTGCATCTTTACGTGAAACTTTCATTGGGCTTCCACTTTTACGAATAGTACGTTTGGCAACACTTTTTATTTCTTTCTTTGATGTTTCTTCAGTTCTAGTTACAGTTTTGGTAACAGCAGATGGTTGTGGTTTTTGACGAGCTTCGAGAACTTTTCGATTGTTTGCATCTTTAGTGCTTTTTGCCGGTGTGCTTTTAGGACTGGCTTTTAATAATCTTGGTGCAACCTTTGCTTTAACAGGTGCTTCCTTTTCCTTCGAAGATGTTTCTTTAACAGGAACAGCAGTACCATTTGGAACTTTAGCAATGCTGTCTGCTACTTTTTTAGGAGTTGTAGGAGATGATTTTTGATCTTTTTCATCTTTCTTTGCAGTCTTTTTGTCCATTGATTTTGGAGGCTTAGAATCAATACGTGACTTGACTTGCGACTTCATGTCGGCTTTTGGTCTACTTATTCTTGCTTTAGGTTTTGTTTCACCTACTTCATCTTTCTTATTAATAATCTTTTCATCTTTACCATCAGCAGAAACTTCTTCTGGCCCATCTGATGATTTTATTATTTCAGTCTCTTCCTTATCACTTTTTTCAGTAACAAACTGTTCTGTTTCAGACTTCTTTACTTCAGTTTGCTTAATTTCGGACTTGATTTGCTTGACAGAAGCTTTGGATTTAGTAACAGTTTTAATGACAGTTTTTTCAGTTTTAGTTTCAGTTGAACACTCATTTGTTTGTTCTTCAATCAGACGATTATCTGGTTGAACATTATTATCATCTCCTTCAGCTTTCTTTTCAATCTCAGCCTTCTTATCGATTTCCATTTTCTTCTCTCTCATCGTCTTTGCTTGAGATTCAATCAATTTTTCTGCTTTTAATGACTTTTTTGATAAAATATTTGTTGACAGACTTGGTGTAACAGTTTTGACTGTACAAATTGGATGCTTCAAGAATTCCAATGCTTTAACTTTATCAAGACCTTCAAATATTTTCAAACTTGGAGTACTTCCTGGAAACAAAATTCTTGTGATGTTATCTTCAGGATTTGCTGGCTGCCAAACAAGCAAAGCACAAATTGAAACAAGATTTTGAGCTGGGAAGTTAAATTCCTTTGAATCCTTTGCAGCGAAGAGTTGATGATCATTTGCGTGCCATTTCTTCAAGAAGTCTTTGACTTCCTTTGACTCTTTCGATGGGCTAATGATGTACATATCGAGAGTTCCGTGACCGACCTTGTGATAAAGATTGATAGGCTCATTATCACGATAGCATGTTTGGGGCTTTAAGTTAATTGTTTTCAAGTTTGAAACCAAACGATTACCCTCTTCCATCAAACTTAATTCCAAAGGATTACGGTCTTTATCACCGTCAGGACTTGAAATTGCTCGACGTTCAGGTATGTTTGCGAAGAAATGGCCAATTTGTGGGTAGACAGGATTTGAACTTTTCCTTTCAATGACAGAACTCATTCCACAAATGTTGCTGTTATTTAAGCGCGTCATCAACACGGCATCCAATCGATCCAAATGACGAACGAAATCCCAAAAACATGCTTTTCTTGGAAAGCCACCATCAACTAAAGAAAGACAGTTAAGAAAGTCATCAGATATCAAAATGATTCAGGAAAATTATTTCATTTTCTTATACCAAGCATATTGAAGCCGTTGATACCAAATAATGCAGAATCACCTTGGCCGCCGGGGAAGACGTAAAGTGTTGGATGACTAAAGCGAATATTTCCTACCACTTCCGAGCTTTCTAGCAAACTAAACAACTCTCCAGGACGTACCATAGATGATAAATAATCTGAAAGTTATTAAAGAAGAAAAAGAATTTGTAAATATTTTTCATTGACCTTTAAAAAGCTTTCATAAAGTAATGATTGTAATCGGCGTAGGGAAAGTCTGATGAAAAATAGGCACAAATGTGATCAATCTTACCAGTGAAAGCGTTCAATTTCTCATTTCCCGAGTCAAGCACGTCTTCGGGATTTATGCGAATTTTGCAAAGCCTTGTAAAGTTCTTTTCGGGCAATGAAGACCAATGGCCCAGTTGGGCACAGTGAATATCAATAGTTATAGTGTTAGGATAAGCTCGCAACACGCGTTGTACTTCATTCTCTAAGAATGCATCGCAGAAATCCAATACAGAAAATGTTCCATCCTTTTGGGAATAAAAAGAATTTCTCATTATCTTCATATTTATATCAAAGAAACATGTTCTCGTCTTACCTGCAATATCCATGAACCATTTCCAGTAAACGTGTAGCCAGCGTGAATGATGTGACGGTGTCGAGTGAAGCTACTCAACAAATTGCGCATACACTGTATGAATGTGTTTGTTTGGGGATGAATCAAAATTTCCGTGACTAAATTCTCGCTTGCATATTGAATGAGACGTTCACCTGTGGGAAGAATTAAGAATTTTCATCGAAATTGTTGAAGAGTGGATTCATGAATAAATAAAAAGCAATTCACTATTCACAAGCGATAGCAGCTGATAACAAAAGGAAAATTATGGGAAATATTTATGGCTTCCATACTTAGTAAGTATTTATGTAAGTTTATCTACAGCATTTTTATTTCTTGAGTAGCGTTTAATTAACTTTTGGGAACTAAATAAACTATCGCTTATCATAAGGATCAACCTTGTCTTTTATGGAAACCTTGTTGGTACTGATTAATACGAGTCACGTTGAAAAACTTAAAGTTTGCATAAAAGCTTCTGCATTGAACAAGCTTCAGGCAATTCAATTTGAATATTTTTATCAAAAAAAAAAATCTATTTAAATAATCCCCAATGTTAAGATGTATTTTCTTTTTATAAATGATGATAATAGATGTATTCTGAGATGTTTTCATGATGAATCCAATTAAAAAGAATGATTTATCTTACAAGTATGATGGATTATACTTGCATAAAAAGAGATATTTCTAAATCATGTATCAAAGATAAGTTTGTAAGCTGCTTAGAGTCAACATATGCTTGCAATCTTTTTATACATAATTCTAGAAATTTTTTTAATCCAATGTGGAACAAAAGTTTTCATAAACATCATTTTTTCCTTGTATCTTAGCACAGCTTTCATGCTAATATTTGCATAAACTTTTCCGTAATCATAACGTTTGAATTTTTATTCTTCAAGAAAAAACATATTTAAAACACCACACAGTGAACTTATCAGATTAAGGATTGAGTCGTCAATATTTTATGATATAACACATTTGAGTTTCATGAGAAAGCATTTTCTTACACACACGCATAACTTTTCTTCCCTTTCCTTAAGAGGAAAATCTTTTATTTATGCGAAAAGGAAAATGTGCGTGGGAACTTCGTAATTTATTTTTACATCAACAGACTTCTTTTCAGGGGCCATGAAATATTTAATATATATTCAATGTTGAGCATCTTATAAAAAGGAAAAGATTAGAAACATATCAGATGCCTCGTTTGAATATTAAATCATGTCGTAATAAAGTATCCATTCTTTGTCTTAGATCGCCAATTATAATTATTCATTCATTCAATTGATGGTAATTTGTTTTATTCTAATTTGGGTCGTGATGTTAGAAGAAGGAAAATTGGATCGAACACATTAAGGCAATATACATTCTAATTCTCTTTCTGTATGTGCATTAAGAACTTTCCCAATCTACTTAAGTCAGCGATAATTTCAGTGGCAGGAAGTCAATAGTTTATGTCTGCAAAAGAGAAAAATAACGACAAAACTTGAAGTCCCATTGCTAGGTTTATAGTTAAATGCTATAGAGTTTCGGAATAAATTGTGTCATATTTTTAGAACACAATTTGTGTCTTCATCGATTTTTTCCTTCTCATTTTCTTTCGTCGGTGAAAGGAAAGAAGGCAATCGATGGAAAAATTGAAATAAATTGATACGAATATCATTTTCACTCCTTGAGATGAAGCTGGCGATAACATGAAAACTGTAGCTGAAAGGGCCTGAACATTATAAAGGTGTTTTATTGCAGAAAACGATTCATTTAACATGATAATTTATCAAGGAACCTTTCGCCTTCCAATTTCTTGTAATCGATGAAAATTATGAAGTGGAAAATATTATTTCACATCGTCTCAGAGTGGCTTTGATCGATTTTCTATCATCAAAAGCAATGAAGTGATGCAAAAGAGATTAATATAAGATTAAGTAGGTATATGAGGTTAGATTACTTTCACATGCTTCTACATATCTAGATAGTAGAAGTTTTTTAATTATAAAAATTTAACCTGATAGTTTTACAAATGAAGCTATATGCAGTAAATAATATTGTACAATATCACAATGGAATAATGTAACGAAAATATTATTAAGACAATGACAAACATTATTAGATAAAAGAAAAATCTCTACAGACGAATTTCGACGACTTTGTAACGTTTTTCTATAATTTTGATTGACTCTTAATTGCCTGCTGTTAGACATGAAATCAAAATCTCACCATTTTTCCCTTCTTCTCCTTCCAACCCTTGGTTCGTGATGGCATTCAATTCCTCTTCTAAATTGACGTGACAGTCTGCGGAGCTCCACGAAAGCAGACCTAAAAATATACAAAAAATATGTTAGATAATTAGTGAAAAGTTTCCAGCTTAATTAACATTTCTCATGTCGATATCAGTGTAATGATCAAAGGTAATCGGGAAATAACTGCTCGACGTTTTGAGAACATGTTAAATTTGAAATTTTAATTGGGTTAGTTTGTGCACACGAGAGTTGTTAACTAAAAATATGCGAATATAAATAAATGTTGCAGTAGATAAAACATCGAGAAAACGATTCAAATGTCGACACGAACTCAAATATCAACATACGATTCTAACAACTATTTGTTACGGCATGAAAATAGTTTTCCAGCCTGGCTTTGAGTAATGGAGAATGTCATTCATTATTCAGTTACTTTCACGCTAGTTGCGGCGTCATATTTTCTATTTATTTCTTTTGTAAATGAATTCGTGATGCTACTTGAAATAGTATTCCAAAAAAAGCTCTTTTTATATTTCATGTGGATGATTGTAGTATGTTGGCAACAGACTATCGATTTTTTTAATACATAAAAGGTATTTTACACTTTATCGTTCTATTACGTGATCGTCTTTTGAAAATATAATTTATTTACTTGAATAAGGAAGAAGCCTCATACATTCTTTAAATTATCTTGATAAATCATCTTGATGATATTGATCCAGTTATAGATATTCAGAAACTCCCATTAAATTTCTATAATGTTAGAGAATTAATAATAAAAATTAAATTCCACTTTCAATGTGTTTTTAATAGAATAACAAAGAGCCGACTGGTGAAGTGAGCCTTTATCTGGTAGATGTCAGGTTCTTTCACACGAGCGCTCACTACACTGGTAGACATCCAGAAAAGAAATCCAAATATAATTGATTGAACGATTGAGCCATTTCATTGATTATTCATTTGGCAAAAATGTTATGTGAGATTGTTTGTGTGTGTATGTGTTGGGTGATTTTTTTTTGCTAGATTCGTGATGTTGAAAAACCGTCGCTGATGTCATATGAATTCTTGCGCATAAGTGTTTTTGCTTATTATATGACAGTTTTGATTGTAAATTTAATTTTCTTGTCATACTTCCTAGATATGTAGACGTGAAACCATTATTTAAGCTTAAAGTAAGTAAATCAAAGTTGATTTTCATGTAGGTCTTTTGAAAACGTTCATGCTAGATTTTAGATTTATTATACATATTTTTAATAACGTTGACTCGTATGAATTCATAATTGGAGTTGTTTTAAAATAAGAAAGAAACTTTAACGGTGACTCGTGCCATAAAAATTAACATACTGCGATGGTCAGCAGAGTTTAATAAGAAACGAATTTTTATAACATTCAATTTGAATTTTAATTGAACTTATGTTGGGTTGAATTTTTTTCCTTAATCATGAAAAACAAAATGAAAATCGAACTTCAATTTTTATTATTTCTCCCATGTCGAAAGCAATGATATTTCGAGAATTTATTTAATGAAATGGAAAAAGAATCGATAAAACTTTGAAAACTAAAAACAAACAGATGAGCATTAGCAGCTCTTCACCACTTGTATCGATTACTTCCGAATGTGTCCAACGTATCTTGAATTTCATTTATTGGAATTCAGATATGTTTTTTTATCTTGGCAATTCCACACCCGCATGACAAACTTCCCAACTAGGTAGACATTCTAATTTCCTGAATAGACTCACTTTATCTCAACATTAGAGACAGTTAAAAGAAGATTAATCAATTACCCAAATTGTGCATAGTCATGAAAGGAACGTTACAAAATTTTATGTGGGGATATTTTGTCTCATGAGAAGTGATCCACTTTTTTGTGCTCTGATGTCATTACACAATAGACTTAAAAAAAATCAAGCAATATGAGTCCATTTCATTATCCTTTCCTTCATTATCATTTGGAATTTATTTTAGTTAAACAAAATAACATCATACGATGATAGCACGCACGCATCTAAACAATTAATGCTAAGTATGAATGAACAATGTTAACAGCTGACCGTAAACTGATTTTTTATAACCAACCGTCATAAATGGTGCAATAATCGTTTTAGTGGAAAAATCTACGACCCGAATGAAAGCAAACTTCAAAGTGATATGAGATTAATTGGGAATTAATTTAATTGAATGGTTAAATGAGAAGATAATGGAAGATACGTCGAAAGAAAATGTTTATGTGATGATGAGTACTTGGAAATAACTAGACGTAACTATGCGGTAATAGAGATAATTGATACGATGCATTGTTGCTATGTAGTTTGTTAACATTTTATCAACTTCCTTAACTTAATCGATTTTTTTATGACACAAATTCCTGAAATATTTTCTCTTAAATATTAATCGACATCTAAATATATAAAAAGTGATTGCTGACGATGATGATAATGATTTGCGATCATACTTAATAATTGATATAAATTGAATTTCATAAGCATAAGTCAATTCTTCGCTCATACACATTTAAATAACATGTTTTGTATCCTAATACGTTTATGTTTCTCCTTTAGATGATTATCTTGAGTTTTAAAACTGTTTCTTAAACATAATGGAAATGTAATTCATCCAATTTATCTTAAATTTTATTCTGTTCTAAATTTATGTATGGCATTTATTCAAATTGAATTTTAAGTTTTATTTTAAGATTTTTTATTTTGCAGCTGCCAGCAGTGGACTCAGTGTTCATATAATAGAAATTTATTTCCATTCGAAAATGCATTTTTCCGGATCTGCAAAGAATGATTCAAATTTATAAATTGCTTCGGCCACACGAAACAAGTTTTTTAATGACCAAATCGCATGTAATTTATGTTTAATGCAAAGTTCGCGGCATATACAAATTACGATCTTGAAGAATAACCTGCAGTATAAAAATGTTAAATACTTGTTTTAAAAATAGAAAATATTTCTAGAAAAAAGAAAACATTGCCTTATAAGCAACTGCGATTTTATTTTAGATTTGCTTCAAGAAGATTAACAAACACAAATTTCCCAATGAAACCTTGAAACTTATTTTCGTATTTCATTCAAAATTCTACAGCAGATTCAAGTTTTATGGTCCAATGACTTTGAAACTCTCTGCATCAGTCTCTGAAGTTTTTCTTTCGCAATGTCTTATTTAAAGTTTTTGCTGATTTTTAATGCATAAGTAAATAATTGAGTAATAGAATCTACGTTAGTTGGGGATATCTTTGCTTGCTTATCATAATTTTATTCCGGTCTAAGTCTAACATGTTAAAAAGTCGTTCCATTAAACCTAAACATTATCGCTTTGTTGCTTAACCCACTTTGTAAGCCCTTTTTGGCATGACAAAATGAATAAACTAAAAGGATGTGGTGGTCGTGAAGCGATTACAAAAGAAATCATTTCGCACGCTTTACTCACAAATCAGATTTACGTCAGGCTAAACTAAGCATAAAATAATCGCTTAGAATAAATGCTTAATTGATCTATATAAATTAGCAAGAAATACTTATCCGAGACGTCTAATTCCATTTAATTTTTCTTATTCTTAATTTTGTTTATCTACTTTCAAGATGAGTAAACAAGATGCTTTATTTATGGATATTTTATGTTAAAGTTAAATGGTGAAAAACAAGAACGTGTCTGTGTAAAATTCAAGCAACGAAAATTTGATGAAAAGGTTAAATGAATGTCAACCAGGACTATTTAAGTAAAATATTTCACAAGCCCAACATAAGAAGCTTTTCCTTTACAAAGTAAATTTCTTTTATTCATCCAACCATGTTATAAAACAACTTCAGGAACTTTTCGTGCCCATAATGTACCATGTTTCGAGAACGAAATAGAAATAAATAAAAGTTGCGTAGAATGTCAAAAACTTTCATAAATCAATTTATCAAAGTTAAATAAAAATCACATAGAAAACCAATGATGACAATACTTTCCGCGAAGGAACATTTATTTAATAAAAGATCGAGTTTGCAATGGACTGAAAAGGAAAATGAGTAATATCAGCCAATAAAAAATTCCAATTGGTTAAGAATGGTTTCGAAATTTCATTCAGAGCTGAGCAATACTGAGAAGGGTTACATTTGTCCCAAGGAAAAATTGCGGTCTCTTTCTTCCATTTCTTTATGTAATGAAAAGATTTTGGCCATAAATTTTCGAGCCATTAATTTTCCATCCTAAGAAGGAAAGAAAGAAAAAGAAAAAAGGTTAAAATGTTGTCTCGACAAAGGCTGATCAGGAAAAAGTTTTCTCATTTTCAGTCTATTTTTTGACAAAAAGGATGTTCTGAATAGCAAATACTTTGCCCTACTTGTCAATGTTGCATCATCATTATAATATTACATTTCACAGTCTAGATCGTTGATTTTTATTTCTCGCTTCAATCAACTTTTGAAACCTGAAACTCATCGCATCGTTTTCAAGTGTTTGTTTGTTCATAGAAGCGTACAGGTGCAATGAATTAAAATCAATAGAATAAAGGTGAAAAGTTCAAGCTTTACGCATGAGTTGATGTATGCAAAGCCTTACAGAGTATGCTAATGATGGAAAATGCTACAAAAGCAAACTGCTTTGTTCCACTAAATTGAAATATCGTCTCGCGAGACAAACAAAAACTTTTTCAATTACAAACTGAAATTGTGTTCAAGGCAGTTACAAATGGGAATTATCTCCAAAAGCTTTCCGTCATTATGCTTTGCTTCTCAAGTTTTGTTTTTTTCTGCTTTCGCTGTACATATTTGGTTGTGTCCTACACTACACAGCATTGAACCGTTCGTTTGAATAAATGAAACTTGCAAAGCTTTTTGTCTTACGCAATAAATATAAAAGTTGGTAAAAGCAAATCCTTGTGATGTTGATGAAATGAAAAGAAGAAACTTCGAGAGCACAGAAACGAGGGGAATTGTCTATTTCGTTTGTCGCAATGCCTTTATTATAAACGGAAGTATACAAAATCAATTCTTATTTCGTCATTTGTCGGAAGGAAAGAATAGAAAGAAAAAATTCATAAAATCTTAAGCAAAGTAGCGCATAAAAAAATTCCAAAAGAAAAAGAAATCATAAAACAGTCGACTCCGGAGTGTATACATTGTAAGGATATTAAAATCCAAATAAACGCCATTCATACCCTCACCGTACCCTCCCGTCTGGCACCAATCAAAGTTTAGTGAGAACTATAAAAGCCTCAGTCCCAGATGGTGAACCTTTGCTTCTCGTTGTCCTTTTTTGAAAGGTTTAACGTTGATTGAAGCAATAAATTTAAAAAAATATGAACTTTTCCTCGCTGGGACTGAACATGCCAGACAATATCACGTTGAAAAATCGAATAAAAAATTTATTTGAAGTATTTTACGACTGCATCGAAGCAAATGAATTTACGTCAAATTTCAGACATTTCAATTTTCTTCCTGAATGTGAAGTGAATAAACTCTCGTTAGGTCCAGGAAGTTCGTCATGCCTGCTGCGTGAACATTTTGTTTCAATTATTGAGACATCAAGAAAATAAATCATCTTGCATACTGTTGTCAAATGAGTGGTTGGAAGACTGTGGAGACGTGAACCGCCTTGTCACAATACAATCGTTCACTTACATGTTGTTACTGACAGCCGCGACGGAAAAAAAGAGAATATTTGGAAGAAAACGAAGAAATAAAGCTAGAAAGCCCCAAAATCAGACATAGCACCGTAAATGGAAACATTTTTCTTGCATATATCTCTGAAAGCTTCTTCTTTTCTTTTATCTATCGATCGATTATACCTTGCCAACATAAGGAAAAAATCTGTGACAACATAGAATGGAACAAAAAACGAGACTTTTTTTTAACTTAATAGACAAAGCGCTTGATAAGCTCTACAGACACGTGCAAGAAGAAAAACTACTTATTTACTTATGACGACAATTTCTATGATACTATCACTTGAATTTAAATTCATTTTTAGAATATTCATGCTTAATAACTTGCTTTATACACCAAAGATGTCTGACAAAATAATCCGATTTGAAAGCATTTATCAACGAAAATATTTTTTTATGTTAAGTAGAAGAAAATAAATAAAATCTCGAACAAACAAATCTCGATTTCTTGCCGCTTTGCCCATGACAGTTACTAATGAAAAATGATTTCACCCGCTGCCGCCCATGAAAATCTCTTAATTCAAAACTGTATGGACTCAAGATGGCTATCAAATTTCTTCGAAAAATTAACTTATTTTTAGACTTCGTCGAATATGAAATGGAAAAGTTTATTGTACTAAATTATATTTCGAAGGCACGGTTAAAGTTATCAACTTTTTCTAGTGGAACAGAAAAACGAAGCTGACGTAAGCTAAAAAATGATTAAGAGTGATGATGTTGAAATGGTACTTTCAGTTATCCGATTCTTTGTTGTTTTCAACAACTGTTCTTTTTTTATTATTTAGTTATTGACATTCCAACTCACCCTTCAAGAGCTTTTGCAAAATGATGTCCTTGTGATCAATTGAATATGGTTCACCAATCACAATAAGCAAATAGCATCCGGTCAAGGGACTCGGAGGTCCAACCGCCAAGTTAAACGAAGCCGGTCCATCCGAAAGGATACCAAGTTCGCCTAACGATGGATTTTCTCCAACGTCTACGTTGTCATTAGTCGGAGGTTCGACTGATGAAGATGCCAAATTGGCATTCCCAGCGCTTTCATCCACCACGGTATCCATTGAATGGAACAGAATTATCCTTTACAATTTCCCCGGACAAATATATTTGTTAAACTTTTATCTAATATCGTTGATGTTTTATTTTTATATTCTCACAACGGAATGCTTAATGGAAAGTTTTACTTCAAGGCGAAGAGTTCAAAAAATTTGCTTCACAGAAAAAAATAAAGAAATGAAACGAACAATTTTTTTCAGCAAAAAATATTTGAAGGAAAAGTTACGCAAACTTAAATTGCAAGTGAACTTATTTCGGTTTGTAATAAATTTTTTCGAGTCTGCCTTTAAGTTCTTCCTGCCTCTAATGGCCGCACCCGAGGAGTAAAATATGTTGAATAAAACCGAAAGGAAATCTTTTAGGATAGCTTTTCTCTCTCCTTCTCACTCACTCGTTTTCACTAAAGCACTTTATTACCCAACACTGTATTCTTTCTCGCACTAATGCCAACAACAACTTCGTTTCGTTCTTCTGACGAAAGTATCGATTTTCCACTCTTCTTTTTCTCTCCTTGTACGATCCTTAACTTTCTTCGTGTGAAAAAATCTGATTGAAGTTCTTTCCGACAATTTTTAAAAGCTTGAATTTGATTTAGAATTCTTTTTATTTGATTAGAGATCTTTTGACAATTAATATGTTCCAATTATCTTTGCAAACTTTGATAAATTTAAGGTGGAAATTTTTTCTCAACTTCTTCTTACTGTGAAAATTTTCGACCGGCGTTTGGAAACGAGTCTATTTGATGTTACGGTGAGGAATGGAATGACGAAAAGTTTCTTTGAAAAAGCAAACGGTTTACGATTTCTCCGTAAATTGCGAAAAATTTAACTTTCATGCTTGGTGGGGATTACGAGCATGCGCTTAATTGATCAAATGAAATCAGCTGAAGGTTTGTTTACATTCGGCAAATTACGCCGGGATGTTTATTAATTGCGAATTTTTCACTGAAACCTAACTCGATGTTGCGAACTTTTTTAAGAAAAAGATTTTTCAATTTGTTCTTAACAATAATCGTTCATAACCGGCTTAAAATGAACTTTATTTGCAACATTAATCATGATTTTAAAAATGCTTCATTTTTCATCGAATTTTAACGCTATCGCCATCTCGCTCGTTCACTTTTCATTTGCTATTTCAGTCGCACGATTTTGTATTGACTTTTGCAATCACGCAGGCGTTAAATTTAAAGCCTTCATCGGGCAATCGCCAAACCTGATCACATAGCTATGCTCATAAAGTTCTAGATTGGGGAAATCGGTTAAAGACATGACAGTTGATATCTTGTATTTGAATCGAGAAAATTCATTTATCATTTTCTTTGCCTCTACTAAATAAATGCATTGAAATGGGAAATCAGCAAGTTTTATAACTTGGCTATTCATCGTTCAATTGAGCTTCAAATTTTTAAATTAAACTATTCAAAAATATAAAATTACATTCAATTATTATCAGGATTTGTTCATAACTAGAAGTTAAATAGTTACGACTTAAATGAAAATGTAAATCAGGTGATAAATTACGATGTTGACAAACACTTCTTCTCATCGTTAAATGTTCATGGAAAGGAAAATGTTTTCTCGATGAGGTTTATTGAATATTACATGTTCTCACCTTTTTCTCTTAATCCACGTTATTTATGAAGCATGGCAGGGAATTTTATTGCCTTTTAGCACCATGATATTATACATGACAAACCATAAACAATGCCTTGAATATCATTCAACGTACTGGTGAAATTCAGAGAGTGTGGGTGACGACAGTGTGAATGGAAAACTGCTTAATCCACATAAATCCAATTATGAATTCTTCTGCAGCAAAATAACAGCATTAAAACATAGATTTGATTTTATTTTAAATACGATTTAATCTCAGCATTTTTGTTCGATATGAAATACAAAATGCTTTTACGACATCTCTAGCAATGTCAACATAAGACGAAGGAAAGGCAAACAAAATTTGTAATTTCAATAGCAATAAAAGTTCATTCAATGATTAAATATTATTGATTTCAATTCAATGCCTTCACCAGAGTCTTCGTTTTACTTTTGCTTTTAAAGTTATGTATTTATCCTCTCGTTCTCCTGACTATAAAACAATATCATAAATCTTTCTGAAAATACTTTTTTTCTCCTTAAGAAAGATTAACCATGTCGGATATTTAAAACAATCGAGGGAACTTTCTCCTATTGATTTTCTCTTGTATCGAATTTCGAACAACAATTGCCTTTCATTAAAGTTAAGCTTAGAATAAAAATGAATGAAGAAGAATCATGTTAAATTTTAATTCATTTTCATCAACGGAAAAGTTGAGAAAAATTTCCTGCTATTGAATTCTTAATTTTCCGGTAAGACTTAAAGAAATTTTGAAACAACTAAAGCACACTCAATTTAACTTGAAGTTTCGGAAATGTTTTAATTTCCTGACAAAGTCTGCACAATATCAAAGTACACAAACGAATCATAATTTCTTTATTATTATTAAGTATTATTGAGGTGCCTTTTATGATTTTGTTAGTTGCAATTAACAGTTTTTCCCTGCAGTATAAATTAAGCTTTAACCTCATCTGGGTGTTGTGATTCTCTTTCCATCCCATTAAATTGCCATTGGCAAAGTACGTCTAAGTAATCATTTTTCATTTACACAGAATGGGAGTGGAGCGGATGTTCCATCGATCTGCATCATATTCGTAGCTAATTTTTCAATTTATTTCTTGTTGAAATTACATTAGAATTGAATTAGAAAATATTTCGATGGCAATGATTGTAAAATTTCTTGTCATATAAAATCTTTAATTATGACGACATTTTGTTATATTTTTGGTTCTGATTCTGATGTCTGTTTGTGCTGAACTAAACGCTTTCAGCATTCGTTGGAGTAGCAATAAACGACAAACATTTCCATTGTTATGATTGTTTCCACCATTGCATTGGTTGAAATGACAGATAATAAAACTGAAAAGAGTAATGAAAGTGGTTTGTCGGAGCCATTATGTGATGAAGATTTAAACACCAACAAATCATTAAAAGGTTCCAGATGAGAAGATGGAAATTCTTGAATGTTGAAGCCCTTATAAAGGTAGAAGAAAGAGATACGAAGCAACATCAATAAAGAAATGAGAAAACAAAACAACTGAAGTAAGTAATGAACGAGTTTAAGTTCTTTTCTTTCTTCCCTCTCGTTCGCAGCGTTTCATGAGTTCCTGGTAAAATGGAGCAAATTTTTAATATATTTTTTCAATATCGACGCGTTGTGCTTGCAATTTCTTTATAAAAAAATTGAATTTTAATTTTCTTTCTTATTCTTAATTACGTTAATTATTGTCTCAAAGTTTCGTTACGTAAATATTTTTAAATTGGCTCTCATTTAAATCTGTAAGTTGGCCAAATTTATTTACAACAAAAATTTCTTTCACATATTAAAATTTTATTGAGTTATAATCGAATCCAAAAAAGAAAAAGATTTTTTCTCTCTATCAAACATACAATGAAAACAATTTAAAATTGGAAAATAAATCAGAATGTTTAGTGTGTTGACACTAATGGTCCCCAAAAGTTTTTCGAGACACGCTTTGGGTCTTCAGTCAGGAAAAAGTCACGTCCCAACTTGACAAATTCTTTGATTGATAACATGCCATCATGATTCTTGTCAATAGCGTTGAATGAGATTTCTGCATCGCGATCTGTCAAGCCCAAACATTGGAAGAAAAGCTTAAATTCTTCAATCGAGATTTCCCCAGATGAATCCTTGTCAACAGCTTGAAACAGGTATGGAAGAAAACGGTGAACTTTCTTTCGCAAATCCTTATCCGTCATAACATGATGCATATCATTAAGGTATTGCTCAACCGTGACCAAATTGTAAGGCGTTATTTCGCCCCAGTTTGACTCCCAAGTAGACTTAAATAAGACAAAACATAATTGTTGTTTATTCTGTTAGCTAATCGGATGTGAAAGATAATATCTCACCCTCATGACTTCTCGAAACTCGTTCATTTCATCGGTCGACAAATGTCCTAATTTTCCGAAATTTTCCGCCAGTACAATGAAATCTTCAAATGATATGACACCATCATTGTTCACATCAAATATTCCATGCATAGTACGCATCTTTTGTCGCCAAAATTCGCTAGAGTAGGCAGCTTTCTACAAGGAAATAAAATATTTGTCTATGTATTCGGAATACGTGATAAATTCAATCATCATTGCTTGCTAAAGACCGTTAAATATCTGCCATTCACCAAACCTTAAAGACATTCAGCATGAAAGCATAACAGTAAAAGCCAAAGTAAATTAACAAACAACAAAGTGCTAATTCATCATCTTTCATTATTTACAGATTCCTGAACTCTGCTAAAAGCTTGAAAATTCTTTTTTTGTTTCAGTTGTGCAGCAAGTATGACTGAGAACTTTTAACGTACAAATACTTGAAAACTCGTTTACTTTGACATTCCATTAACTTTTGTTTTTAATTAGTAAACAATTTTTTTGCGCACATAACAATTATAAATTTATTTACTTATTTACCTTTTTACGGTCAAAAACCTCAGCATCAGAATCACTATCACTATCGCTGACATATTTACGGGAATTCTTCTTCTTTACATTTGATCGTTCGGAAAAAGCACGAGCTTGATCAAAAATGTTTGAAGATTTCAGTTGGTTGCCTTTGTTAGAGCATCGTAAATCGCTTGAAGTAGAAATTAACTGTAGGGAAGGGAGAAAGACAAAAAAAAAGTAAGCAAATGGAGAACCGTTCAGAAAAACAGCATAAAGAAGAATTGTAAAATGAAACTCCATCAACAGCGTTATTACGTTTCAACGAATTATCCGGAAATCATAAAATATTCTGATCATAAATGCAACTCTTCATGTCTCACGACCCAGTTATATATGGTTTTAAAAAATATATTTATAAAAGTATTTGCATAAGTCTCGAATTATTGTAGAAACCAGTCATTTGATAACAAAATTTTTATTCAAATGTGCTACTTAAACTGAGGGAGCTTCATCAGTATTTGTTTGTTTTTTTTTATTTATTTTTAAAGTTCTTGTCGTGTAGAGAAATGAGCATGGATTTTCAAAAACAAATTTAATTACTTTCGTTCCAACACATTATGTGTTGATGTATGTATTTACTTCACTTTGTTCGCTCTCCATATTCAAATAATCTTTGATATTTGCTTGAAACGTCTGAACATAAGAAGACAACAAGACAAGACGGAAAATAATTGTGAATTATCATGCGACACTTGATAACATGAAATTAATTGTTGCATCTTTTCCTTCATTAAGTTTTGTTTTTATTTTGAATTCTTCATAAAGACAAACTTCGTAGCATCTGTTTTTGGAGACACTTTTCATTCTGTCTTTGTATTAAACTCTCTACATCATTTGTCTTTTTTTTTATTTTAGCTGGTAGCTACGTTAACGTTGAAAAATATTGCCCAACCTTATTGTTAATGCCTTTGATAGTCCTTGAATCTCACGATTATGAATGTTTTTAGAGCGCTTACAACTTACATTTGCCTTCCATTTGCTTTGTAAAGTTGTTGTTGTAGGTGCAAAGAGTGCAATGCGCTCAGTGGTTGCCAGCGAACTTCTCGCTAACGATCGCAAAATGCAAATCGCCATCTTAGAAATTGAGATTTTATTTCTTTTAGCTGTTGATGATGGAAAACGTTTCTTTTAAATTTTTGACACGTACACAAGAACGTCTGTGTTCAAATTCTCTTCTTTTTGAGTTTTCTCATTTATTAATTGAAGCGCAGTTTAGTACCGTTTCTATTGTATGGAACTTTATGTTAATTTCCTTTTGTTTATTCAACGTTTTAAACTTTAACTTTTTTTAGTTGACAACAAAGTTAGGAGTTGAGTCGTTTGCGCATCCGAGCGATATAAAATCCACTCTTAAACTGAAAACCAGTCACGTATAAGTCTTGCTTTATGGATCAGTTTGTTTTTGTATTTCTGAGCATGTGGTTGACTGCTTTCGTATATGGAAACCGGTTGGGAGTATTTTTATTCTCTCTTTTTTTCAAATTTTCATAATATCAAAGTCAACGAGAAATGTAAGATTAAAGTAAAATGAAACAAAACAAACCTGGGAAAAGAAGGCGTCGAATACACATGAAAGTTCACCGTACACCGGCATAAACAGGAAATTATGCTATGAAACCAAAGAAGTTGTTGTTGGAACTTGTTAAAACTTGTTGTTAAAACTTACTTGCTAATCTTGATGTTAAAACAATTAACAGTTTTTGCACTAAACGAAATTTTTCCTCTCCCAACATTGTCAATAGAAGCGTCAACAAAAACCACACACAAAGAATGCGTCCAACAACCACCAACACTAACAAACAATCTGCAGCATAATTTATGTTTACATTTTTTTCAAAAATAAATTTCTCAACTTATAAAAAACAAAACTAAACATGTTTAATTTGTATTTGAACAATAAAACAAATCTTATAAAATTTTGACAAGACTGAAGGATAAGGAGAACAAATTTAAGTCGAAAAATGTTATGCTTTATTGGACAAATAATATCAATGTTAAATTACGTGACAAAACATGAAACTGATTTTAACAGGCAGAATGAAAATTACTAACAGGAAGAATGCATCACCAACACAATCACAACAAACATAAAAACTGAGAGAAAAGGATGATCATGAGTAAACAACTCTCCCTTTTCTTTATTATGATGGATTCTTATTAGCAATTGGCAACAAATATAAGTTATAGGAAAAAATATTAATGTTGGATAAGATTTGATTTTTTAATTATTATGCAGCATACTGTAGCAGATCCTGATGATTAGGTATCTATGATATTTTGTCGTCATATAGGTATCTTCGTTTATTTAGTCTGAAAACCGTAAGTTGATTAAACATCTATTTTAAATTAATATCAGACGTACATCTAAATTAAATACAAATTTATTTACTGAAACTACTAATTTTAGTTTCAAACAATTTTCTTAATTTTTTATTTATTTCAATAAACGTATCAAAAATATTTCACATAAACACAATTTTATGAATGAAAAACATAAAAGCTTAGCCGAGACACAATTGAGCTTTCAAAAAGCTCACTCAAATTTCAAAAATCCGTTAAATTACTTATAAACCTTCTGTCCTTGATTCTTTTTCATGCAGCTCCAACCAAAGCACTTGCGGACAAAGCTCAACTGGTATGCATACACTTTTTAAAACTCTCACAAATCCTGGCTTACAAAAACAATGATAATCACAATCAAAACGATGAGAATAGCATAATGGATCACGTGAAGTACTACAAATGTCGGTACATATTTTTTGTCCACATTTTATATGTTCGTTCGGATGGCATATTACTAAATAAGATAAGTTTTAATGGTCTGAATAAGAAGTCATAAAAAAAATCAAATACATGTTCCTACTTCTCCTTCTTCTTTGCATTCTTGAGTCTCTGCATCTAACATATAACCCGGCTTGCAATAACATCCTTAAAACACATTCACAAACAAGAGTTAAAATCTTTTAAAAAATTTCACTAAATATTTATGTAAATATTACCAGCCTTACATCCTAAAAGACAAGTTGTGTCCGGTTCGGCAGGATCATAATAAACCTGATGTTTCTTCGGACAATTTTTCTCATAACATTGAATAAAATAAATAATTTGTAGAAAAGAAAATAAAGTACTCGACTTCATTTCTTCTGAGAGATGACTGAAGTGAATGATTCACATAAAATTACTTAAGCTGAATAAATATTAGAAAAGAAGTTTTCAGTCTACTTTTATAACTACATGTACACTTATATTAATATGCATACAATGAAATCATTTTCATTGATGATCGTCAGATAAATTACAAACTTTATTTGTCATAAAAATATTACGGAACAAAAAGTTTTGAATGATCTTTTTATAAAAATGTTTTAATTTATCACATCATTTCCATTCAAATGAAAAAGAATTCAACTTTTTTGCAGATAACTTTTATTTCTTTCAATAAACTTTTTATAAAAACTGTTCCATTGATTACAAAGTTTCCTCTACGATAACGTGATGTTACCAATAGCCCCAAACAAATTGAAAGGAATTGATAATGGAAATGTCACTGCACAGAAAAAACTAATAAACTTTAAAAATTTCAAAAGCTTGGATAATTACTATTTATGTCTGTCAACAGTTGTTCAATAAATTGTGGCAAAGGCATTGGTTGTGCAAAGGAAACTGTTGAATAGAAAAATATTTTTAAACTATCTCAGCAATACTTTTTAATTCATCATAACTTACCATTATAAATGACGGACACAAGATTTGGTTTTGTCATATGTCTGTTAAATATTTTTGAGATGACAAACTTTTGTTAATTTCCACACTATTCGAAAATGCTTTACTTACGCTACAATAGTTCGAATGTATTGAAGCTCAGAAGAAGATTCGTCAAAATCCTCTTGAGCTTTGATTTTATTATCAGTAAAAACTCCAATAAAAGTTACAAAATATAACAAAAGGATTTTTTCAACTTTAAAGACAAACATTTTAAATGCGACTGAATGTTACAACTGTCGAGCTTTAATTTAAGTATCAATATTAAACATTTGTTAAAAGCTTTTTGTGATCACATTAAACATTTTAAGTGAAAAAATTGTTTAACATTTTTTTGTGGCCGTTAAAATGATCAAGGTATGGTAAACAATAATAAATAAGCGGCCATGTAGTATGTTCTACTGTTAGAATTAAAACAGTTCATTGTTAATATCTCATCATTTACCACCTTCCATTACTTCTCCAGATTCTCGGATTCTCCTTCAGTTTCCCGTGAAGTGGAATTCAACTCAATTTCAATCGTAGCCGACGTGGTATCTTCAGTCATCGGGGGCATGTACATTGCAGTTGTCTTCACCCCGTTTAAGCCTTAAACCAATAAGAAAACCATTTCTTGATTATGAAATAAACAACTTCAAATTAATTCATTTCTTACCCTTTATTGGCGGTCGTTGATAATTGAAATCAGCTGCGATTGCAACAATAAACAAAAATAAAATATTTATAATAAAAAGAACGTTCATAGTGTTCAACAGCCGTAAAGGAAATAATCAAATTATTGTAAATGTTAAATAATATTTAAGTTTGACTCATGTAATGACGTGAAAATTTTATGGTTTATTTGTCATTTCCGAAGTACATGAACCAAATTACAATAATTTTTATAAATAAACTTTTTTAAAAGCGAAATTAACATATAATCACATTTAGACAACAATATCACGTGTAGTTGTTGGTGGAGGCGCATAATACCTTTCACGATAAGTTGTGAACAAACCAGGACACAAATGGTGAAGATAAGTGACAATTTGAGTGACGACTTCATGATTAACGAAGCAAAAGAGAAACGATACACAAAAGCCTTGCAGGCTGATAAGAATGGCGGAGAGAATTTGATAAGGAAACTCAAAAATCGAGTCTTTAATAGGACGGAAAGGAAGCAAAATATGTTGAAGACCAAACAGTGGAATCTGAAAGTAAATTTAATTGAATTATTCTAAAAATATCTTTTCAAGTGTGATGTTTGTGTATTTACAAGTATAAGTGTCGCCCGAACCGCCTTCTTAATTGCCAATGGTGCAGGGTTATTGGATTTGGGATGAAGCTTTGTAATTAATACTCGGACAATGTTGACGAGAAAAGCAGCTGAACAAACAAGAACGACGATGACAGGAATTAGAAGAATCCACATGAAATGGCTTTCTTCAACCCAACACCTGTCAATTAAAAGTTGTTTGATTAAATATTAACAAGAAAGTGTAAAGATTACTTAACAATTTACTTACAATTTACTATCGAGATCACTTCGTGCCCTCAAAATGCTGTAAATTGTTACGAAAATCAACGGAACAATCCATCCGATGACCATGAACATTTTAATCGCTTTATCATCTTTAATAAACACGACAACCAGAGCAAGATGCAAGTGAATTCCCTCACAGAACATCCAAAAATAATTACAGATCATTAAATATTGTGTCATAATATGAAGGCTAATACACCATGATGGATTATTAGCAATGACAGAAGTCGAATCAACTACAAAGTTATACCATAAAATCCACATTATACAACTCAATGCGAGAGATATAAAAAGTTGAGTATGAATTCGAATTCTTGTACATCTTAATGATCTGGAATGGTGTCAAAAAGAGATATCAATTGAACGCCATCTTTTTAATCAGAAATATTACCTAAAGCTTAAAAAAATAACGAGACTGATAATTAGAGTAACGAGTGAAAAGCAATATCCGTAGAAATAAATATCGTTAATTAATTGTCTTGACTGAAAGAGAAAGAGATGATGAATTATCAGTCATTCCCAAATAAATGCAGACAAAAATGAATTATTACGTGAAAATAATTTTGATCGATGCATGACGTGTAATTGCTCCATTCGCCCCCGCTTTCGGGATGTCTCCACCAAGTGCCATTCTCGGTACAAATTTTCGATGCTTTTAAATTTCCATCATATCCAATTACGTAATTAGGACAGCTTTTGATTTCGGTTGTGTTAGCTTTAGCTGGTCCCCAGCAAAGATAACTGAAAGTGGTTCTTTTAAAACTTCTTAATTTTCATTTTGTTTACATTGAATTCTGTTACCCATCAAACACGACCGGGCAATTCACCTCCGAGTCGTTCTCGAAGGTTGTTGAATTAACTAAGGACTTTTCGTAAGCTTTACATTCCCGGTACAGTCTAATTATTAGTCTTTGGCCTTCGGTGATGATTGCATTCTCTAAAGTAAACAAGAAACCTTTATCGTGTGGAGTGCTTTTTTTATATTTCGTTTGGAAGTAAACATTCGGGGGTGGAAGGAAAGATGAACTAACTTCGCAAGCATTCCGAAAATTTGGCGTTTAATAAATATTTATCACTTTTCAACCCTGCTTTTTATATCTTTCATTCTTTGTCTGACACTGATTTTCATTAAGCGTTGATTGATATAATCCAAACTGCGAAATTTAAAATTTTTGTTTTTTCTCTTTTCTTTTTAAACAATTAAAAATTTATATTCTTTTTTTTATTTCACGAAATGATTTCTTCTTATTTTTCTCTTTGGAAATAAGCTCATTAAATTTTATCACGTGTTGTTGATGAAAATGAATTTAACAACTGTGCGTAAGCGATGAGTTAGGAACTTTTATTCCAATAATTTCTGATCGCTTTAAATTTATCTCTTCTTGGAGATTTGTCTCGATATCAACGATAATCAATCTAAAATGTCATTTTCTTTGACATTTTTCTGGTTATTGTGGAAAACCCGAAGACAATGTTTTGATTTCCCGAAAGGCGGAAGTATAGCAAAGCTCAGTGAAACCGAATTATTATATTTTCTTTAAAAAGCTATAAATTATATTGAGTAAACATATCCATTATCCATTTCTTATATTCACACACTTGAACAATTTATTGTGCCTCTTAAAGTGAGTACATTAACAACTTCTCTAAAGTTACTTGTTTGTGATTTGAAAACAGCCGCAAACTATTTCATGTGATTACTTAAGAGGTTGGAGGAATCGTTAATATTCATCTTCTTTCCACACTCTAATGGCAATTTTACTTTCCGGAAATTAAAGTCTAATTCAATCATATTATGAAGCTCGAGGCCGGTTACCTTTCATCACTAGCTTTCTACTCTTTGAACTTGCTTTTTCAATAATTTTTTTTATTTGTTTTTTAATGATTCGACTTAGAATCTCGAGAACAAATTGAAACTTCCGTCTGACTTTGTTCGCTGCTTGAAGAAAACTGAGAAAGTATTTTATGATGTTTTTCTCCTCGACGTAGTAACATCGAAAAGAATCTAATATCGTGTCGCTATCGTTCACTTGGATAAATTTACTGAAACAATGAGGGAAGAGAAGGCGCCAATCTCTGAGAGAAAAGTTTGTTTTCGTGTAACCGTCATAAACATCATTTGCATGATTTTTTTCCTTGCAGATTTCCGTCAAACTCGGTGACATTTGATCGTGATTTAGCAAGTGTTAAATTTATTACAAGCATAAATTTGTTACATTTTGAACAATTTGAAGTTTTAGTGTTTGAGTTGAATTAAATAAATTAAATCAAGTGTTTCAAAAAATTGCAAGAAGATATTCAGGTCAATACAAAGTTATTTAATAACAACTTGAACTTCATTATGAATTATTTGCATGCTGATTAACTAGCAATTTGTCCAATCAGAAGCTTTGAAGTTTAATTTACAGTCAATTTGATGGAAGTTATGAACATTGAAATGGAGCTGCAAATAAAATTGAACCTTTAACTGGGATGTTTTTCTGTTTGAAATTGATAGTTGTTTCTATAATGCTAATGGAATTCTACATTCTTCTTCTAAAAATAGAAACCTTGAACTTAAATATTGTTCTTGTTGTTTCTGCTTGTATGGATGAAAATAATAACATTAAAGAGCTTATATCATTACATAAATAATCTTGTTTACAATTGAAGATGCTGACTCAGAATCAACATCGAAACTAAATAGAAAACTGAGAAAATTGTTGTTAGGATTAAACTTCATGTCACAATAGTTATTCATGTTACATAAACACAAATATTACAACAAAAAAAAATCTTTTTATGTCATCTGATTTAAGCATTCATCTCACTGAACTTGTTGCATTGCAATAAATTACTTTAATTTGCTCTGAATTGATCGAATGTATTTTTTAATGTGAACTGAATAAGGACCAATAAGTTGCTTGATACGACAGCAATCATCTGAGAAAAATGGAAAAGTTCAGAATAAATTGTGAGATGAAATGATAAATATGACTTACAGCACATAATAATCGATTGTTCAGTTGAAATGTTTTTCCGATGCTTATAATGATTTGTTCATTTATCAGTTGCAACGAGAGCTTTGATATCTATGAGAGAAAGTTTCATTCATTAGCGATTAAAAGTCAATTAATTTTAATTTAAGAATAATTACAGAATGTTTCAGTCTTCGATCACTTCGATAACTGTTCATGCTTGGCACGAGCTTTTGATTCTTTGCGTCTGTTCCCGTAGTTGAACAGGAAAATGCCAAATGGAAATAAACTGTGAAGCATCGTATAAGGAATGAAAATGTTGCTGCAAATTTCAAGTAAGACGCGTTCGGTGAATATAAATTAAGATAAGCATAAAAAATCACATTAAACACGTAAAACATGTCAAGCATTATCCCAAAGAAGTTTGAGAAGATAAATAAAAGCATTTGAAATTGATACATTCCAGAGAAATTCTTGTAAATTTTGAATAATTTCGAATGAAATAAGGACATCTCATCAAGTAAGTCGCAAGTGTCAAGATCGTTCTTGAGTTTTGTCAACTTTTCATCGGTTTGAAGTTCCAACTTCTTTTGTGCTTCTGAGATTAACTTTGTGTACATACTTATGTGAAATCTTAGTAACAAAACTCCATAAAAATATTCATTCACAACAACAAACATCGCAGCCTTAGGAAGAATTAAAAACAGGAAATGAATCCAATTCACTTCGTCCTTATTAATAATCAGAGCGCAGAGAAGCGAGCTGATTGACGCTTTCATAAATGTTAAAACAATCCCCACACAAAAGATATTTTCATATTTGATTTTTTCTGTCCATAAAGAGAAAGCACTCGAGAATTTCCTTTCGTTGTCTCTCACAAACTCGGAAATCTCGTTTAATAAATTCATCAAATTCATACGATTGAAACGTTGAAATATAAAAGCTGCAATCATGAATATATAATCGATGGAATCTCGTAGTGAAGTAACTATGACAGGAATGGAATGATCCAATCCATCAATGACATTCACAATCCTAGCACACTTGTAGTAAGCAATTGGATGTATGATGATTAAGAGAACAGAAATAACAAAGCTGTAGACGCCGTAATATTTAATGCAATAAAATTTTCCATTCTTATCAGAATCAATGAAGATGAGACCGATAACTTGTCCAAGAGCAAGCCAACAATTTACGATAATCCTTTTGAAGATGTTCATGTTTTATGTTGAATAATAAAAATGTTACTAAAATAGTTTTGACGTTCGACAAGACTTTTATAAATTCCTTTTAGAATCTGATAAGATTGTTATGGGACCAATTTATAATATTGTTAATTAACATTTAGGGAATTTATTGATTTATGAGTTAGGTAAGTGTTTATAAATTCCACAATGTCACGCAGCTTATAAACAATCCCCTTAGTAGCGAGTCATCAGCTGAGTTTATTTATTTACATCAACATGGAGTTTAACTATTTAAAAAACATTTTGGATGATTTATTTGTGAGGTTCGAGAGTAAATATTCGCCTAGTAGTTACCAACTGAAACGTCAGCTTTGTGTGTTGAATCGCAATGAGAAGTTGTTGATAAGAAAGAAAATATTAGGTGATTAAAGAAATATTTTCCTCTTTTGTGATGATCATTTGTTTACATTGCAATTATATCAACAAAATCTATTTAAATATATGAACTCAATGTCTGCTTTTATAAATATCTAATTATAGAATTAGATTACAACATTGGAGCACTTCAAGTTCTCGAAATACTTTGCGAAACTGGAATTTTGTCTTTGACCGGATATTTGGAGAATTTACCAGATGAAGCTGAGATGCAAGGAATTATTGCGGATGTTCTGGACTCTGATGATATGATGACATTGTTGAAAGAGATTGTAATCAGTGGGACGAAATCGGAATCGATTAATTGTAATTTCCAGGAATGTCTTCATCAATACGTCGTGGATGTTGTCCTTCGACCAGAACTCATCAGAAACGAATTCATTACCAAAATCGAGTCACAATTGCCATCAAATATTTTCAAGGAAATGATTGCATTCAACTTCATTAATGAATTGCTCTCTTTTCACTCGAATGATGATTCTCATTCAATTAATGATTTAACACAAATAATCAGCATTCAAAAGCAGTGGAATGTCGAATACCAAGAAGAGAAATTCAATCTCCTCACTAAAATCCTCAATAATTTGTCAATTAACCATTCACACGACATTGGAGAATATTTGCTTAAACAACTGCAGATGAAAGAAGTCAACAACTGGTTTTACATGCTCTTCTTAATTAAACATATCAAAGAGGAAGCAAATTTAGTTGGAGAATTCAAAAGTAAGTCGCTTAACATGTCTTAAGAAACTTTATAAAAATGTTGATTATTTCCAGAATTCTTCAAGAATTTACTAAAAAAATTTCATGAGATGCAAGAGAACAACAATCTCTACTTAATGTTTATCTTAGCTCGTCAACTATTCCATTATCGACAAGAGAATTCCTGCTACAAGAGTTGGGTAAAGTTAACGATCGGTGAATTACATTACAACTTAAAAGATCAAGAAAAATTTACTTTCGCTCTTCAAGCACTCCAAAACATGATTTTCTTTGAGAATGACTTGAATGTGTTGGAAATTCACGCTCAAACTTCAATCACATCTCCACGAGGATCTCTTTCCTTAATTCACGAATATAAACAACTTTTAAAAACAAGAATCAATGCTTTGTCATCACCTGAAATTGTCATGGATTTGACTTGAACCCGTCTGGAAAAAAAAAACAAGAAAATTGTTTTAAAATCTTTTTAATAGTTTCTTGAATCCCCAAAAAAAATATAATGAAAAGAACAAAATTTAACAATCGATTCAGTTTGATTTCTTGCTTCTCATTCATTATCATCATCGTCATGATTATTACTATTATAATGTTACCATCCTCAACGAAAAAAAAAATAAAAATAAAGAAAGCAATTTTAATGCCAAAGAAATAAAAAAAAAGTTTTCTAGAAGAAGAACGAGAAGAAAAATTAAATTTTTTGTTAACAAATTTAAATTTTGTTTGGTTTTTTGGATGGAAAATTTTTCTTCGTTCTTTGCTTTATCGATCGCATAAGATGCTTTTACACCTTTTCATATTCATCACAAACAGTCTCAGAGCTCTTCCAGTAGCTTGACGTCGGATGGTTCATGGTTCGTTGAAGTTGTCGCCTTCCAAACTCTCATCACCGATTTATTCATTTTCTTATGCAATCGACATGATTTTTTCTTTTAAAAATCTTCTCATCTACAAATGTTTTCTTTTTATTGTTGGTTTTCATCGTGTTTTTTCTTTGATTTTATTTCCGGGATGACATTTTTCATCACAAAAGATTTCAATGATTTTTTAAAGATTTTTGCTTGTTTTTCATTCATTTCCAAATCCCGAAAGAACACTTTTAACAGTTTTCGCACGTTTTACATATCGCATGGATATTTCATGTCATCAATGGCTCTGGCTGTTCAAATTGATCCATTAATTAGGAAAGTTGTTGCATTTAATTCATTTCAAATAGCAAAAATATATTCCGACGATCGTTCATCAAAAGTTATTTCCGGAATGAAAGTTGCTATAAAACTTGTCCGGACCTTGGCTGTTTGTAAAGTCTTGCGACAGTAAACCGTCGCCTTGTGATTGTCCACCGACAGCGTAATCGCCAGGTGCGAAATCTTGAGAGAAATCTGGTTGTTGACTGAGTGAAAAGCCCGGTTGGCTCATCATTTGACTCATTCCGCCTTGCGTCAATGGCCCTGGTTGACTGCTACGACCACGAAATTGTTGACTATTTCGATTCATTCCTTGTTGCGACGATCCACCAGCTTGTGGCATTTTTCTGTTGTTAGTTCGCGATTGTTTCGCAGCTTGCTGAATGACATTTTGCTGCTGTTGTTGGTAGAAGCGTGGCGGGATGTTATTCATGTTCATATTCATGAACATTCCAACTGGAACCATTCCTTGTCCGCTTCGATGGTCTTGCGAAATATAAGAAATCGGATCGTGAGCTCGAAACACATCCATGCCTTGATTACCGCCATTCCATCCTTGATTATGTTGTTGCTGCATTCCAACGCCACCCCCATAAAAGTTTTGTGCTTGGTTTTGTCCGCCCATTGCTTCTCTTGCATCGTACATTGTGTTTGACATGAAATGTTGACCAGGATTGAAAGTATTTACAATCTTCTTCGGCTTTGCGAATTGAATCATCGACTCCTTTAAATTATTTAAACTTCCTTCAACCAGAACTTTCTTCTCCTTGTAAAAGTTCAGCAAATTATTCCAAAGTTGTTGTTTGCTGAGAACTTTTGGATTTCCAACGATTATTATTCCATATTTGGCTCGTGTCAAAGCGACATTTAATCGTCGTGGGTCATTTAAAAAGCCGATTCCTTGATGTTCATTGGAACGAACACACGACATGATGATGATGTCTTTCTCACGACCTTGGAAGGCGTCAACTGAAGCAATTTCAATTTCCTGGTACAATTTGTTGTGTAAACTTCCCTGATATTGCATGTATTGAACGAGATAAGCTCGTTGACCTTCATAAGGTGTAATGACTCCAATTTGTTCCGGTCGTAAGCCAGATTTAAGGAAACGTGTTGCAATCTTCTCGACATTCGCTGCTTCGGTTCGATTCAAATATGAAGTTCCACTTCCAGCGATTTCTTCGCTTCCCTGTGTGACTAAGAAGAACATTGGACATTCAGGAGATGGCCATGGAAAGTCAATTTTCAATTTTCTTTCTTCAGCACAAACGCCATTTTGCAATGAACCTTCGTAGAAGAAGTTCGATGGAAACTGTGACAATTCTGGATGCATTCGATATTGAACTTCAAGGCGAAATGGTCTGATGCCGAGCACAACAAGACGCTCGAAAAGTGACTGCGATAAACCGGCTTTAGCTGCTTTCTTGCACATCACAACTGGACCTAAAGTTGATAAAAATATTTCAGAAAACTTTTCTAAATTAAAATTAATTAAAATTGATTCTCACCAAGCTGACAATGATCACCAACAAGAATGAGTTGACGTGCTCCACGAACAACCGGAATGATCGCTTCAGGCTCCGAACTTTGCATCGATTCATCAATTAAAATTGAATTGAATTTAATTCGTAACAATCGAAGATCACCAGCGCCGACACAAGTACAACAAATAACATCAGCAGCATCCAGCAACTCTTTTTCCGCTTGTTTCTTCAACATTCGATAACGCTTCTCATCACCCGATGACAATTCACCAGTTTCATCTTTAAGTTGTTGAAGTTTCTTTAATTCACTTGACATGTCCATGTTTCGTATTTGATTGTGCAAGGCTAGAAAGCTGACCGGCGAATCGATTGCTTCACGAGATTTTGCACAAACTCGAATAACTTTTAAATTTGTTTTGTGAATTTTTTCTGTCAATTGATCCACAGCTGTGTTTGATGGTGCACAAACCAGCACAGGGCCACCGTTTAGGCGAACTAATTGATAGACAATCGTTGCACTTGTCACAGTTTTTCCAGTTCCTTTAAATTTAATTTGTTTGTTAGGAAGTCAGCAAAGCTAAAAAAGATTTTAATTTACCTGGCGGTCCCTGAATCAAGCTCAAGGGACGTTGAATCGCATGTTTCACTGCGTAAATTTGTGATCGATTCAAATCAGGAAGATTTGGAGCTGAAAAATGTTTCGGTGGATTGCTGATTCGAAAAGTGACATCGTCAGCTCTTGAATGTCCCAACAATCGCGAATAAATGAAGTTCGACATGGAATTTTCATCAACAGCAAATTTCCTTAAAGCTTGTTGCATTCGATCGAAGCTCGTGCCTTTCCAGATGAATTCAACAAAGAAGTTTGATGAACATTTGGTTGGAGGATTCGAACTGTGTTTGAGTTCTAAGCCGACATCTTCACCAAAGTTATCTGGAACTTTAATGACATGACCAACAGAAGCCCATGGCTCATGAAGTTCTCCAACATAACGCAATCGCATCTCATCACCGTGCATCAATTTCATGTCAGAATCAATTTTCGCCAGAGTGAAATAAGCGATAGTTTTCTTATTTAAGCCGGTGTCCCATCGGACTTCGATGTTTTCTTGTCTTTGCGACTCTTTCAATCGCTTATCATAATCAGCTTCAAGTTTCACTAAAGGCCCGAAGATATTCTGGTACTGGTAACCGTCATCATAACGAAGTTGAACTTGTGAAGGTTCTTTGTCGATTCCCTGAAAAATATATTTTTAATTATTTCTTTCATAACATTTAAAAGAAATCTTACTGGCTTCTCTAAATCAGATATCGAAGCTTCAACATTTTCCTTCCACAATTCTTCCAGCTTGTTGATTGTTGCAGCGTTTATTTGTCGAGCTCTCAGTTGCTCTTGCTCTGTGGGAATCTTCACCAGCCACGGTAAGAAGCAACGATCAGATATTAAAGGTTTCCATTGTTCTTGATCCCAATTCATGTCCTTCAATGAATTTTGTGCTGCACATGGTTGACTGAATGAATAAATTTATATATGTAAATAACTTAATAATGAAGAAATAAAATAAAAAACTTACCGGCAAAGTAAGACGACAACCGAATCAGCTTTTGCTGGGATAAATCCCAATAAAAAAACATTTCGAATACCGCAGCTATAACATTCCAAAACAGTTTCACCGAGAGGACCATCGCCATGCAATGTAACCTCACGGTGCTTTGCACGAACTAAATGATGAACAATGTGCGACCCGGAAGTTCCACCTCGTGAGTTGCAAAACCATTTCTTGCAAATGTTGCACATAACAACGGTCGATGCATCACTGATGCCACAATATCGACAACAGTGAGCTGCTAGCTCCTTTGAAGATAACAAATCGTCATCTTCCTCTTCGGCAAATTGCAAATCATTGATGCCAGAAGTAATGCCGCTGATTTTACTGCTAAGAATTGTTTGCGATTCTAACTTTTCGAACCCATTGAGCTTGAAATAAAAAGAAAACAAAGGAAAAAAATGCGATTAACGTGGCTATTTCGTCGTTGATAACGATTAAGGGAAAAGAGAAGGCAAACGAACAAGTCAATGATTCCAAAGCTTTTATGCGTCATCGAATTTCCACGAAAAATTTAATTTGAGATAACATTTTACATTAGCCTTACCTGACTGCCAAAGTGATCCGATTGGGAAGCTTGTGTCTGACTTGGTAGTGTGAAATCATTAAAATTTAACTGAGAGAAGTCATTTGGCTGTGATATTAAATCGATCTCATCCTTAAATGTCAATTGCGATTGAGACGAACTGTACATGTTTAAATCGGTAATTCAAAGCAATTTCGTATTTTTAAGTCAGCCGTTGATAACAATATCTCTCTAAATGTTTCACTTGTGATAATGTTCACGCGGTTTCCTTGTTAATTCTTTTCCGAAACACGAGTAAATTGATATTTTTTTTATGAAATTGAATTCGGTCGAAGGGTTAGGAATTCTGCCAAATTTTATTTCGATGTATTTACTGAAAAATTCTGGTGCATTCAGTGAAAAAATGTATCCCGGACAATTCATGTGACCGGAATGTTGAGTCGAGAAAGCGCTTTTTTTGCAACTTTTCAATAATTTATTTTTTTGTTATCCCAGAAAAATTATTATTTTATAGCTACCAACAAATAAAGCATGAAGTTTAAAAATTTTAATTCGTGCTAATAAAAAATATTCAAGTGTAATTTACAAAGTTTAAGTGTCGAGCAGGACTTTTCAGAAACAATCTTTAGAATATATTTTCAAGAAATTATTGGCGGGAAAACATTGCAATGGTAAGGAAGATTAAAAAAATAAAAATAATTCCATTAATGTCCAAATCCTTTAAGACTCACCAATGGCAATGCTTAGAGGAGCTAGATCAGAACATATTTGATAAAAAGGATCCATTCATTGTGGCTTTTGATTGCTTCTCAGTATTTTCTGACTCCAAAGGGATTTTAATAATATTTAGTCACGAAGAAATTATCAACATTAAGCTTTCCATCAGTAACGAGAGTGATTGTCCTACAGTTAAATATTTAGGTTTAGCGAGATTGAAAGGAATTATTGGTAAGGTTTTAAGCAATAAAATATTGAAAGGTGTTTATGTCAATTTTTTATTTCAATTTTTAGGTTCACAAGTCGTTAAAGATAAAAGAAACTCGTTCCTGGTCACCAAAGATAAAAAGATTTTCATGTTCCGGTCATTTCGAAGAATTCATGAATTGCCTGGTCATTCAAATGTCAAATTTTTTGAATGTTTTAACTCAAGTTGTTATGTTGTTTTAGAGCAGATCGACATCAATTTCAAATTGAAACTTTTCTCAACATTTGAAAGCGAACAAGACTCGAAATGTTCCTGTTGTGAATTTGATCTTAGTTTTCCAAAAGGCTCTATAACAGTAGATGGATCAAGAGATAACGAACATTTCGTTGTAGAAATGATTCAAAATCCATTTTCTAACAAAGCTAGGAAATTTTTTACTGAGTTTCTTGCTTGTGATCTTCAAAATGAATCGATTCATGAAATTCTACTTATTGCAATTGATGACAAACTAATGTGGATCAAATACAAGAATAGTTTTCAAGAAGGAGCAATCGAAGGATATTCAATTGAAAATATAACATCGGCAAGAAACTGCATTCTTGATGTGAAATTCAATGGCGAATATCTTTTCATCCTTGACAAACTTTCAATTCTCACAGTTTTCTATTTTTCTGTCATCAACCAAATGATAATGAAGAAAGAAATTTATCTTGAAGGAGAAGTTCAGTGTTTCCGGTTTTATAAAAATTACTTTATTTATTCAAATCTCGAGAAAATTGTTTTTATGGATTTTCGATCATCGTTCGAGCCAACAGTTCAATGTGTTAATCTTAAAGGAATCGTTTGCTTCACAGTTGTTTCTGAATTTGATTTCTTAATCGCCATTTGCCATAATCGTTTATTTTATCAAGTGCCAATTAAATTAAGAATTGCGAAGCATGAAGAAGAAAAAGAATTTGAGATTCTTGTAGATTCTGATATCGAATCAATTCCCAGTGTCGTAAGATTTTTTGACAGTGAAGAAAGAAATTTACTTTCGATCGAACAGGAAATCAAAGAGAAAGAAAATTTACGAATATTTTTACAAAACATTTCTGCCGATCAGAATTTTAATGCCGGGGAGGCTGTTATTAAATTTCATCAGAATTTCCCATCTGAACTGCCAGCCAATAATATTTTGTGTAAAATAACAAATCAACCACTCTGTAGTGGGTTTATTCAGATAATAATTCAACTCTCGAAAATGCTTGCAGCTACAACATTTAAAATCACCTTCTGTCGACATTCAGCATCTGGCGTCATAACACGAATAGTGAAAATCGAGAATTTCGACAGAAACATTAACATCCTCATACCGGCAGAAGAAGGTGATGATGCTGCTAATAGAATGGAATTGGATTTAATCTTTACTCATGATTTCAAAGGTCAAACAAGACTTATGAGTTACCCAATTATCATTAAACAAATCATTCCATTTGAGAAGTCGAAAATCAAACTTCGTAACGTACTCGATGAATGCATTGAAGTCGCCAACAAAATAAAAATGTGATAAATTATTGAAGTGAAATAAATAATGCAAGAAAATTAACTTTTTGTTTCAACCTTTTAATTGTTTTAAAATCTCTCAAAACTTTTCAGGCAAGTTAAAAAAGGGAATCCGATCATTTGTCTTAAAATGATATCAGTAAATTTATTTTTACACTGACTGATGTCTAACATCGAAATTGAGTTATCTCGCTGAACGTGAATTTCTTTCATATCAATTTATTTCATGCCGTAAACTTCCATCTCTTAGTTGAAAGAAAGGACGAGCAACGAGGGTGGAAATTTTTTACTTATTTTACATTATCGATCTTGCTGGACACTCAAAGCATGTATTTTCTAACACAATCTCACATTTACCAGTAAGCACTTCACGCACTTACAATTTCTCTTCAGCAAGAAAGAAAAAAAAAACGAACGAACGAAATTCTTTACTTCATCGCTCTCTTTTCTCCGTTGTTTATTTTTCATCCCTTTTTTACGATACAGCACAGCAGCGAATTTCCATGTACGCATATTTATTTAATTTCAAAGATTTCAAAGCGGGGGCGGAAAAACATCCGTTTGAAAAAAAATAATTGGAAAAAGTTTTTCTTTGAACTGGACATATAACAAGAAAAAAAAATGTATGGAAAAGAAATGAAAGGGTGGTTGAAAAGAAGACTGAATAAGAAAGTTTTTGAATCGTGACCATGCTTATATCGAGTTGCTATGAAAGACTTTTTATTTTTAAATGACGTCAGAAGATTCAGTAGAATTTAAAGATGAAGAAGATGAATTTACTTCTTTGCATGGCATATGAACAGTGTAAAAGATTTTCATCTAAATATTCAATCTTTTGAGTCACTATACATAAACCTAAATACGCTACCTTCAGTAAAGAAAAAAAAATGATGAAAGCCCCAGCATTTATCGTCAGGTTTCGTTCCAACAAAGACGGACATCGTTGGAGGTACACAATGTAAGGCAAGAGAAAATATATGCAAAGCATCGTCAAACAATAAATATTTGGACAAGAATTCTGCCCGGTTGCGTTGGGTGAAAGAAGAGAAAGTGAAGAGGGTGAGAGAAATAAATCGATTTAGCCTTCACATGAAAGAAATGGTCCGATGGAAAATTTACATATTCATATCAAAGGAAATATCCGTTGGTGAGTTGAGAAAATCGGGCAACATTCACAAGGATTTGCTTGCTTTTTATTTTTGTTACTCGGTATAAAAAAATGAAAAGTATATTCGGTTGCGTGTGTGTGAGCGTGTGTAGAGTTTGCCTGGACATTTCAGATGAAAAAAAAATCTCCACCCCCGCGTTTAGCATCTACATACGATATAGCAAGCGGCTGGACAAATCATTATTATTATTATTATTTTTTATGTTTCAAGCATATAAACATAAAAAATAAATTAACATCCTCAACATGTTATGCAAATATATGTGCTGAGTTTAGTCGAAGATTTCTGTTGGAGATGAAATTTTCTTTGTGACCTGTTTGTCCTTCTTTTTTTATACGTTTGTTAGATGAATAAGAAGAGAGAAAAAAAAAAGCTGAACTATTGGCAACATTCAGCGAAATATTGAAAGCAGTCTTTTGATTATTTCACAAATTGAACTTCCATATTCAAGATGCGAACCGACGAAACTTTATTCGCTCTTTACTATTTCAAGCTCGTTCGATATGCATTGGAGGCGATCGAAAGCTAGAAAATTTATTTTAAAAGTTACTGCAAATTACGATTGCCCTTCTTGTTTCTGTAACTTATTTCGCACAAACCGTCATAAATATTTCCAGCGTTTTCCTTTTCAATATTTTATTACGGCTTACGCATCAGATGCGTTACTCGTATGAGAACGAGATGAGAAAGTTTTTTTTATTTTACGAAAAATGAAAATTGCTTCTGTTTGCAAGCGCAAGAAGATTTTTCAATTTGGCTTTAGTCGGATATTTCGGAAGTTGTTGTAGGTGGGGGTGGACGGGAGAGAATAAAATGTTCGGGTTCAGCTGTGTTATATATTGTAAAGAGTTGTAGGCTTATGTCCGGCAAAGAGAAATAGAAGGAGGCATAAGGCATTGAAAATTAATGAGAAGCACATCTCAACCTCCCCAACCATTCCACTGTTACCAGCGCTTTGATGAAAAATAATTATTAATTACGTTGAAACAAAGCATACAAAGTTTCTCGCTACGTAAAAAATGAAAATAAAATAAAAAATGCGATCCTAGCGAAAGCGAAAAGGGTTGAACGAGAAAGATGGAGATGGATACTGTAAATGTTTACACTGGACCAAGCAAACCAAGCGCGTTCAAATGCTTGAAAATGAAGATAAACTCTGCGAGTGTTTGTACGATGGCTTGGAGAAATGTTTTTCAATTAATTTTCCATCCTTCGAACCATTCTACTAGAACTAATTAATATTCTTCATTTTTTTATATTTTATTTTATTTTTTTTACCCAACGATACTTTTGTCCGATCATCAACATCCACGTGCATCAATTAAGCTCCAAAATGCTGCGGGAAATTGTATAATTTTTTAAGAAAATCGACACGTAATAATAGAGAAAAAAAAACACCGAAAGAAAGAAAGGAAGGAAGGAAGGAAGGGAGAACACAAGCTGACTCTGAAGCTCAATTAATTAAAATGCGAGAAAGGGTTTTGTGTGTGGGTCGATAGAGTTGGTCCAATTGAAGATTGAAAAATATCCGAAAGGCATGACAGAAGGAAGAAAGTATACTCACGTGTCCGGTAGAAGCATCAATATTCTTTAAATTGAAACTTTTATCACTGGCTTGAGTATAAGTTAAATATTCCTGAAACAACACAACACAAGACAAGGGCATTAAAATTCATGCATGATTAAGGATGGTTAATTTATTAAAATTTTCTTTCTTATTCAAGTAAAAGTTTTCCCGCAAGCCTTCATCAGTATCGGATCCAAATTGGCCATAATATCATGACTCAATTGGATTTTCTTGTAATCCTTTTTCCACAAGATTTCCCGAGACTAATTCCAACTTCGTTTCTCTACAGTAATCTGCTCGTTCATCTTGAAACATTTTTCTTCTTAAAACTGCCTTGTCCCCTTCTTCTCTCATTCTCATTCCATCATTGACGCAATCTCCCTCTGGACTTTATCTAACCCTTTTTTGCATACTCAACTATAAAATGATAAATGAAATTTAATTAAATGAAAATCGTAGCCAGTTTGATGGCTTTTTATGGTTTCCTCTTGTTCAGCCTCTACTCGTTTCGCATTTTCCTTATCAAAAAATTAAAATACATTCTCTCCCTTACTTTCACTCTCTCACTTAGTTAAAAATCTCTAAGCATTTGTGAGGGTCGTCAAGGAAAATAATCAGCATCAAAAGGCAATGCTCCCCTAAGTTCTCTTCTGTATCTTCAAGCCGTTGTCGGTTGTGAAATTTATGTGAAATGGAAATTTTCATGTGGACATTCGTGAAATTTATGGACATCCGGAGGCTGAAATGGTGGGGGTAAACGAAGAGTTAAATTAAAGGGGTTTGAGATGTTTAAACGAGAAATGAAGAAAGAAATGATAAATGACAGTGATAAGAAGTGGAGAGCTTCAAGTTTAATAGAAGCTGTAAGGAACGTAGCTAACATTAGATGAAATTATCAAATGTATTTGAAACAAAATAAAAAATAAAATAAAACCAATGGACGTTTGAGATGGCAGAACATTTATGAAACCATGCGAAACATTTCCTGACAGTTTGTCAAAAATTCCTTGACATTTAATGATTAAACTTTGATATATCAATAGCTACTAACGAGTCATTACATTATCAAGAAATTTTCATCCAACAAAAAATTGTCACTTTCATTCACTTTTCTCCGCCCACGCAACAACTCTCTCCTTGAAAAGTTTTTAATTTTTTTTATCAAATTTCCATTAAGATTCGTTCTTAATCATTCTTGTCTCTTTATTTTTTGCCGCTTGCTTGCGTTCACTGAATAGTCCCATTGAGTCATTTGCTGGAAACAATTGAAACCCTTTTAGAAAATAAAGAAAGCTGACAACGTCCAAAAACAAAAAAATTAAAGACGATGGGAAAAGAAGAAAATCTCTCTTACAAAGCCTCGTCTAAAAAGAAGAAGCGAGTTGACGGTCCGTGCATCATTCCCCCGCAATTTTTTTTTTTACTTTTTCACAGCAACTGGAGTGAAAATAAAGCAATGTGTTTGAAGGTGGTGGGCGACAGAAAATAGGGAAAAAAAGTTCTTTTTCTTTTTTTGCTAAAGTATAAATTCGGAATCAGTTAGATGGAAGAGAAGAGGAGAAAAAAACGCGTTTTCGGACGATGATTGTAAAGAAGGGGTGGTCGACTTCATCTTCTATCTTCTAACCAGCAATAGGAGTGTGAGACTGAATAAAAATGCGAAAGGGGTGACACGAATAATTTTCACTCGACGGTCCATTTTTTATGTATAATTTTTTTTCTTCTCTTCTTCTGTTTACCGAGCGTTTCTGCGCCTTTCTTCATAAAGAACTTTTTTTCCTTTTTTTTTGCTGCTCGAGTCCATACAGAAAACTCATTTTTCTCGTTGCTTTTCGCCAACACACCGCTTGATATAAGAGAAGGAAGAAAAAAGAAAAAAACGCTTGAAAATTAATGTAAAGCAGCAAACAGAGAAAGTGAAAGGGGTAGTTCGTACATTTGTGTGTGTTAAAAGCCTTTAAAACTCTCGACTCGAGGGGGATGTCGACTTTGAAATCTCCAGAGACACGAAACAACTTTCTCTCCGACGTCCATCTCTGGAACGCACGAGAGAAGAAAGATAAAAAAACAGCAACAGCAGCATGAGAAATTTGTGTGGACTTTCGTTGTTTAGGGGTAGTTGAAATTTGGGCGATTTTGGGGGTGGAATGAGAGATGGTACATGCTTATTTTATGGCAAGGGCCGGCAGAAATTTTTTCGAACTTCGCTTTTTTATGTAGATATTTTTGGCCGGCACTTTCCCTCATTCGTTCCGTTCTCCCTCATACCAAATTGAAAATGAAGCTCCCAACATAACCCATTCCAATATTCGACATTAAAGTGAAAGTAAAATTCAACATTAGATGATGGTTCTATGTGAATTGGAGAATTGGACAAAAGGGGCCGAGATGGAAGCAGAGATGTGAGCAGAATGAGAAGAGGAATTGTATATTGAAAAGTGAAAGGAAAATTCTTGTTTTTGTTATTCGACATCTTTTATGGCCAGAGAATTTCCAATTTTCCGTGTACATTTGTATTGGTATCCAAACTGGCCAACTGCCTTCTCTGTGTACTCCAACGTTGCTTCAATCGTTGATTGTGTGTGAGAAGAGATTTTACAGAAATTTTCTTCATCGCCTCTTTTCCGTTTTTTATGTTTTCAGAGCTACTGCTGCTGCTGCTGCTACTATTGCTGTTGTAAAATTTTCTCCCCCACATACGTGAAAAACTATATGTATACATATTAAATCCCATTTTCTGAAGGACATGAAAACCCCATTCGAAAGTGAGGCGATCTGGGAGGGTGGTGGATGAATAAAATGATGGTAGGGGGTAGATGAAGGCACCGAGGCAAAACTTTCACATCTACACACATTCTCTGACGATATTTTTTTTTCTTTCTCTGGCATCCATCTATAAGAGAAAGGAAAACATGCGTGGATATTTAAAATGGTAAAATTTACAAAAGCTATATATGCGGACCGAAGGAGTGTGAGGTGGTGAATGAAAAGCGAGGGTCGGTAAAAAGTGGGTTGGAGGGCATTTGAATGAGATGTATGGCAGAGACGTACATGTGCGATATAGAAGAACACAAAGTTGGAAGGGAATTTAAACTATGATAACGATGTATATACTATATAGTTTTGTGAGTTTTGTCGACATTTAACTGCGTAGATTTTCTTCTCCTCCCCCGCAAATTTTACTTGTACTATGTAGATGAAATTCTAGATATTTCGAGTTCACAATTTTGTCAAAGTGGATTCTGCTCGTTTTGGTAAAAGTTTTTGTGTAATTAAACCAATATCGTTAGGAAGAGAAAATAATTCAACACGAGCTTGTCTTCATGTGAAATGTGAATATAAAGTCCCAAGTCCCCGGCATTTGAAAACTATCAAATTCACTTTGCCCAGGATTTTCCTCATTTTCATATTGGTTTTTCTTCAACTTAAGTAAAAGGCGAGCAAATGTATGTATATATGTGAAAAGCGACGGGCCAACTGTGTATATTTTCCTGAAAATTTATACATCATATTACCCTCCGAAAAGTATGTGGAAAATGCCAAACACAAACAACTTTTGAAATATTCAGCAAAATTCTCCATCTAACATAAAACATTTTACGTTTTGTGCTAGAAAGAAAAAGAAAGATTTTTTTTTAGATTTTCCAATGGGACTAGAAATGTTTGCTGAAGATGCTGAAGGGTGAGAACTGAGGTGAGGGGTTTGAGTGGATAGTCCATCTGAGAGTGTACACATGTGTACGAAAACCGAGAAACCAGAAAGCGAAAGTTGTTGAAATTTCATTAACAAAGTTAACATTCGAAGCTGCTCCATCAACAAATAACTTTGTATAGTTTCTTGTTATGCAAATATTTGATTTAATTAGAATTACTGCAAATTAGTTTTCTTGTCGTTTTTCATCTAACTTCTTTCACAAAGAATACTTGGCATGAAAGTTCAAGAATCTTTTACAGAAGATAGAAGACATTTTGGATTCTAATTGAACATTGAACGAAGAAAGCAGAAAAACATTTTCCATTTAGTTTGAATGGTTGCGTAATGTTCAAATTTTCTATTCTGAATAATATTTGCAATTTCTCTTCGTCATTTTGATTCTTTTGAAGTGACATCAAGTGAAGTTTCTCACATGTGGTTCCAATATTTAGTACTAAATATTCCTCGGGGGGCGATTTCTTTGAAAAGAAGTTTGAGACGGAAGTTTGTTGAATCATGTGATTTATGTCACCAGTTTCAATGGTGCTGCACTTAAGAGTCTTTTTCGTTTTTATTATCTTGTTTAAAAGGCCGATTCTTGACTCTCCGTTGAGATGAAACATGTGCAAAAATTCTCTTGGTACAAAAATCGTTTTAAATTTCAATGATGGGCATTTTAAAAATCAATTAGCTTGAGATGTCGGTTTGATACAAGGAAAAAAATCGATCCCAGTTAGAAATGTGAAAGTTAGTTTCATTTATATGTAAGCAAACATGTCATAAATCATTACATAAGTATCGCAACATTAAACTTTTTGACACATTAAATCGTGATGATTATCAACATCAATTCAAATGATTATTTCTTCCAGTTCCAAACACTCACTGGGCGATATTAAACAACATCATTTTTTTCCTCTGATTCTCGTATCTCAAAGCATCTCTTACGATTTGTTTACTTAACACGGTAGCATAAAAAGAAATCATTAAATTTTTCTTTCTTTAAACACGTTGCAAAGGAATCAAAAAGATTTTTTTCCATAGGACTTAAGAAAACGTTGAAATTAAGTAAGAACCAGAGTATGGGCAATGCAAAGAAAATTATGAATTTAATAAACATATTTCTTTAGCATTAACATAATAAATGAACTTCACTGTTCGCCTCATCTCATAAAAATGATGAAATTACGCATATTAAATTCATTTATGGTCCCCTCCTTCAACATTGCGAACGATGGATAAGCAGGCGTAAAGTTTGAGGCAACCAAAAGGTGTTTTTATTCGGGAGCTTTATAGCGCATCAGTTGGGACGCGATTTTATGTCGTGCCAACTAAAGTTTTTCGCCTGCAAATGATTGCAGTTTCTCCATTCTCTTCAAAGAGGTTTTTATGAGGCAATTCGACAAACGCAAATGAATTTTTATAGTTTTCAAAATGCTTTCAGCTAGTGAGCGGTTCTTTGTAAGAGCCAACAGGAATAAAATATACAGATCATCGTAAAATCTTGTTTTCTTATCTTGTTAAAGCTTTTCTGGCTAAAACTGATACGTAAAAGTGAAAGAAATGATCGTAAAAGTTTTTTTTACACTTTTTTGCATACACTCTGTCGCGCTTTTAAATATTCAAACAAAATTTTCTTCGTTGGTTACTTAAGTGGGCACCTTTCTCGATAAAAAAGGCGAAAGAGTTTTCCGTGCTCATCGTTATGATTTTTTATAGTTTCACGAGCAAACAGATTCGTTTAGCTTAGCGAGAAAGACTTTTATGGTCCGCGTTTGGAAAAACTTCACCTTCAACTTTACTTCAACAACCATCAACATTCATTTCCGTGTCTGCCGCCCTCTCTTGTGTAATCATGATGGCATTATGAAAAGTGACACATCGTCAGTTTATGGATGAACATTTACTTTCCCCGCTTTTATTGAAGAACGGGTTTTGGTGACTTTTTACGATTTTTTTCTGTCTTTTACGATTGGAAACTTTGTTCGTTTTTAAGACATCTTTCAGAAGAATAAAAGAATCCTTGAACATGTCAAATCATCAACTCAAAGCTAGCGTGTAATCGTGATCTGCTTTCAATGAATTTCAATCATTGTCTCAAGTAAAACAAAAATTATTTTCGCGTGACTTCATTTAAACACTCACGAAGCTTTTCATGTATGGAAGTTTGAGCCGCGGCGTTTGAAACTTCTTCATTCTATTTCAACTATTGTTAACCAGCGTCATTTAATTTTTTTATGTGTTGTTGAAAAAAAGGGCATCGCATGCTCAAAGTATTTAAAATTTAAATCAAAATTGTAGACTGTTAAAGTCAAATTTCTTTAAATGAATGAATCTAATTGATGTTTCTTTTCTAAAGCATATAAAATTATGATGGAGAATTATAATATGATCCACTTGAAATTCCTGTGGCGTCTTTTTTGGAATTTGTAGAAAACTAAAACAAAATCTAACAAACAAAAAAACAATTCAACGAGATAATCATTTCAGCAAATCTCAATAAACATTTGAGGCAATTGCTTTCACACAAGGCAACAACATCAACATAAATAATTTTTGTTCATTGCCAACATTGTTCGCTGTGCATTAAATTTAATTGCCTTTTACACGCCATAAATTATTCTGCGGTTATTCTCATGTGAACCGCGGAAAAAGTTTGCTAGAGGTTGGGAACTTGTAATGATTCCTATCGCCAACGTGAATATGAACATTTAGCATAGCATCAGAACTCCCACATTTCACAGCTTTGTTGATACAAATGAGGTGATATGGGGTAATAAATTTATCGGAAAATCGCTTGTACTTACGCTGGTAGGAGATTAGTAGTTTGTTGTAACATTTATACAGCTTTCCATCAAAAGAAATGAGGGGTGAGATGAAAATAGAGGGCGAGAAGAAACGGAATCATGTCATGGAGCGTAGAACGCTCTTTTATCACAATTGATTTCCCAACTCGATGGGTTTCTATAAATAATAAACACATACATCGAGACAAACCCTTCTCAAATCCAATTTCACACTTTCAACTACCTAATTTTCCATTCTCATGAATCCGCAAGTCGGGGAGTTGGAGATAGAGCTAGAAATCTTTCTCACTCCATTACAAAATGTTGCGAGCAATTACGGCACATCAAAACTAATAAACTGTGCTTCATTTACAGTTTGCCACCTCTCTGTTACGAGAAAATCTCTTTATCAGATGAAAATGAAAGTAAGCAGTGGATGAAAATGTTTACAAAAAAACATTGACGCAACTTTTAAATTGCTTCATTTTGTTAAGAAATTATTTTGTTTAATGTCGTTATTATACGGTGGAAAGAAAAAAATTCGATTTGCTTTTGTCGCACAAACAGAGGATTTGATTGAAATATTTTTACACCCCCACGTAACAAATTAAGCAATAATTTACAGTGAATATCATTTCATTACTCGCTCGTTCATTAGCTGCACGATATTGCAGTGTTGAAATTTGTTTCGTTTATCATGAACATTTACTGTGAACGGCAAAAGCAATTAATAGGTGCTAAACATTTCCACTCCACCCCCTCTACCCTATTTTTATCCAAACTTACGAGCATTCAAAACGATTTTTTCCGCAACATGGAAAAAGGCGATAAGCGAAATGAACATCAGATGTGACGGCGAGAACATATGTGGGGGAAATGAAGACCAACACGTTCAGTTTACAATCCAATCATCATCCCTCGTGATGATTTTTATTTGCCAATTGCCGGCCATCAGCGATATTTTTTTTACTTTGTTGTTTGTTCTATTTCCCGCTTCACTGAAACCAGTGGACGGAGAGGTAAATGAAAATAAAATGACTTGAAAAATCATGTGAAATATAACACACAGGAGAGTTATTTTTCCCGGACTCTCTAAAACCTCTGCACTGTTATATTTCGAATGATTTTCCATGGAAAAATCGTTTGTTTTCAGGATATAACAGAAACGAGCTTACTTTTAAACGATTAAGGCTTATAAACAACGAAAAATAAAGGGAGAAAGAGAGTAGCAGTTTAATAACAACTCGCGGAAATATTTATTAGCTGATTGTTACTTGCAAGCATATAAAGATAGAAAAATTGCCGAAGTTTAAAGTGATATGAAATCACATCAGAAATTTATGATTTCTTTTAAAAATTCTATTAAATTTTTATTATATTTTAATAGTCACCCTGTCTCTAAACAACTTTCTTCTCCCTCCACACTCGTTGAGAATAAACAAACATCGACTATGAAAAGTTGAAAAATAGTTTTCCCCTCGTTGCTTTGGAGGCATAAAAATCAGTACTCGGGCAATGCTCAAGTCATGTTCCGCTTTTTCATCGAGTTGTTAGTTTAACGTGTAATTTTGTGCTGCGAACATTAGAACCGCGGAATGTGAAGAAATTTTTCCCTCAAAAAATCAACGTGGAAACCAAAAGGGGAGACTTTAACTTTGATGAAAAAAATAACTTTTGTCGTGTAGTTGAATGGGGTTAGTGAGAATTTAGGATCGAATAAAAATTCCTAAAGGTATTAACTTCATACAGTGTGAAAATTTTTGATTTTTGATTGAAATTTAAATTGTATTTTGTGAAAAAGAAATTGAAGAGCACAACAAGAAAGTTTCAAGGTAGGTTAAGAGTTCGTGAAAGTTCAGAAGAATAGAATTTAAAACAATGTAATAAAAATAAAATATTATTATGGTTAGCAGTTTTTAAAGAACAACATTTTCCGAAAGTTTATTTTTAGAAAAGTCAAAGAATTTCTTTCCGTCTTTTGCCTTTCTTTTCTTTCATCATTCCTAAATCTCCCATTGACCTACAATTGTAATCATCCCTTTCACAAGTATGAGTAAGCAAAGATCAGTTAAGTAAATTAAAGAAGATTAAATGAATTCTTCTACTTGTTCGATTGTGCTTCGCATGACTAAAGCACTACGAAGGAAGATGATAAAAGCAAGAACATTTTTCTTTCTTTCGTTACAATGTCGGAGTCAATGAAATTCCCATTTTATCACAATTACAGATAGAATTTGAATCACAACAAGTTGTCAATGATGTAATATACAAAGATTGATATTTCAGCATAATAGCAAATTGATTAATTACATGAAATCAAATCCCCAACAATCATTTCCCTTCGAGGGAAGATTCCCTTTTCAATTGAGGGGATTCAACTTCGATTTTCATGTCGATTTTCTTCACCCTCCGTTATCCAGCGATTTAAAAGAGAAACAGAGAAAGAAGTGAGAGACAAATGATGAAGTAATGTAATCAGGTGATTAAATTGATGACACAACAAACGACTTTACAAATTGATCACAGATTGCGATGTTATCAGTAAATTATGGCTTTTGCTTCGTTCCATCGCTTATCAGCTTCGCGAAAATCTTTTCTCCCTCCAAAATCAACTGCGAATACACAATAGAAACATCCGTTAAGCATTTAAGCGTAGACGGGGGAGACGTGGAAGCAAACATATTTTCCACTCCATTCAGTCATAAAATTTACATTTATTTTGTGGCTTGAGGAGCGCGCGAATAACAAACAAAAACGAGTGCCGCTTTTAGAAGAATGGAAAAAACGAAAAGTTCTCAACGCCACTGTCGATGTGATGCCTTCGTCTTTCTATAGAAGGAAGAAACTGAGAGAAAAATGCTGTCTAAACAGATTTTCCTCCTGTGAACTTTTATTGTATTGTTGATGTTTCTTAATGCACACATTCAGAATGTTGACCCAGAGAGAAGTGGAGCTGCCGTAAAGTCGCTTTCAAAATACTTCAAGCTTGTTTACATAATTAAAGTGCATGAAAAAGATCACTTAGCTGAAACCCAGAAAGACGTCAGACCATGAAGCTTCTCACATTTTATTAGACGTCTTTTTTTAATCTTTCCAACTGGGAAGTTGTAGACGTAAAAAATTCAATTCCCGCTTCATTCACTCCTCCCCATCTTCTTACATCTAAACCGCTCTCATCATCATCGTCATCATCGTGAGGAAGTCAAAGTGAAAAGCGGATTTTTCCGACATAAAGTAAATAACATTAATGTGATATTATGCGTGCGCCTTGCCAAAAAAGTGCCCTCCGGTGATTCATCGAAATAAAGCACGCACCAGTGAGTCTTCTTCTCTTTCAATACTTTCTACTTACCATGAGATTCAGTATTATCCACGTGCTTTTTGCTTTCGTTTTATTTCGTCCACTTAAAGTAATTTCAATTAAGATGATGGATTTTGTTCAATGCTTCTCATTGACTTTACTTTACGTAATATCTCACATTCCAACATAAGTTGACGATAAGAGCGGCTGTAACAAATAAGAACTGTTAACATTCAAAGCCCTAACTCAAGCCTCCACCAAATAAAATAAACCAGCGTTGCATTAATTCTCGACAATCCTATCGCTGATGGAGACTTTTATTATACAAATTCGTCGACAACTGCGACAAGCTTCAAACTTTATTTACTGAACATAAATGTAACAAGATTTTCATTTTTTTTCTGCTTTGTCAGGAGATTCTTTCTTTCTTTTTCCATTCATTTCACATTGTGTGATGTCAATATGTTCGATGAAGTTAAAGGAAGAAAAGAAAAGAAAATGAAAGAACACTTTTCGTGTAAATACTTTATCAAAACATATTTTTTTTGTCTGCTCTGCTTTTTAATATCCGATTGAGAGTTCTTAGCTCAAAAGAAAGAATTGTTTGCTTTCTTCTCATGCCAATACTGATTTCATACAACCACCTCCACCCTCAAGCACGACACGAAATGTCTCAGCCCTAAAGTCAACACTTCTTTTTCACCCTTCACCAGACGCGTAATTCGCTGTATAAATTCCATCGCACATATCAAGTCGAGAGTGGAGTAAATTTGTTATTCTTAACGCCAAACATCCACTCATCCCTTTCACCAAATATGCTCGCGAAAAGGCAACAACATAAATATGTTTTGTTGTCAATTTAATATAATAACATCGTCTTCGACTGAATGCTTAACTCTCTGCTTTCGCACTTCTCCCTCGAACATTCAACATTTATATACATTTTTCTACCATAAAGATTTCATTCCATGAATTTTTATACGCGTGTGTCTTCAGCGTTCATACCAAGAGAAGAAAAGCAAAAGAATCTCTGTTCAACAGGTGGTTGTAAACACCAGAAGGAGAAAAGAATGAAAAAGAAAAATATACGAGCGCAATAGAAAGAAAAAGAAAAACAACAGAAGAAAATATTCTTTTCCTAAGTTGAGAGCCCTCAAGACAAATAAATTCATTGTATTGAATAAATAAAATAATCGGTGGTCTGAGAGTATATCGGCTTGTGGATTTTTCCGCGTTATTAAGACGATGTTGTGGATATTTTGGTTGGAGGGAGAATAAGATGAGATTGTGTAACATTGAGCCACCAATTATTTCTCTTCTACATTGTTATGGGATTTGAGGGTAGATTTCGACTTGTCTTTTCACGGGCAATCTTAAAGGTATTTCTGTATTAATTTTTAGATATCTCAAGGACATAAAAACATGAATCAATGTTTATTAAATGTGATTCAAAGATGAAAGTATCAATTCGATCGGTTTTTGTAGATATCTGAAAGATAACTTGATTGAAATTATGGAACAGCGTGAGACTTCCAATCCTTTCAGTTTCCTGCAATTCTTATATTGTTGTATTATGACGCACACAAATATGCTTAAGGATTATCTAGAATAACTAGCTTTATGCTTGAGCCTTTCATGAGCCATGTCACGATATATTTTACGTCACTTAATGCAAAACTTCATAAACCTTCATCACTGACCAAAGACTCCCATGAAAAAAATGTATATAGAAGACATAACAATAAGCAATAAGATTTCATTTCTTTTGCAGTTACTACCATCGAAAAATCTATTTTCTCGTCATTCCCCAAAGTCTCAACTGTACTTTTTACAATAGGATTTTATTTATGTTGCTATTTCTCTCATTTTCTATTTCTCGTTCTACTCCTCCTCAAATAGTCCCGGCAAAATGCATTTTTGTAGTTTTTATTTATTTATTATATGTGCTATGAATTCTCAGAAATGAGACTTCCAGCTGCTTCACTTCGCCAAAGATTTTTTGTTCATCTTCTTCTTCTTCTTCTTCTTGTTCATATTTTCTAGCATTTTTTATATTTCTTTTTTCTTCATGGTGCACGTTTTGTTTGTTAAGAAAATACAATAAAACTGGATGAGAAGAAAACTTTTTAAAAATCCTGTCGTGGGCAGTACTTCGGGATGATTTTGGTGTCAGTTATGATTTTTTCCTTCTTTAATTTTTTTTATTTAGTTCTACATAAGTCTCAGATATTTTTCAAATCTCCGTTTTTTTGATAAGGTTGCACGCGAAACTTTATTTTCATTCTTCATTTTCAAAAATGTTTTATGAACTAAATATTGATCAATAAATATCCTTCTCGAAATTGTTTCATTTCGCTTCTTTTTAATACGAAAAATTGTTGTTGTTTACTTGGCACTTTAGTCTAATACATTCCATTACCCTCTGGCACCTCCCACCCATCTACCCAGTTTCGCGTATAAATTTCTAGCGCAAATCAGAAAATTTCACAGCGAAGAATAAAAAAAAACAAACATCTTCTGACGTTTATGTTCCATGCTGAGCGTTTTATGAGCGAAGCGGGAGAGAATAAAATTTTCAATTGCGCAGTCAATTTGGGGTGATTTCAATGAAAGGATTTAATGATTTCACAACAGAAATCAATAAATTTAAAATTTCTTTTCATTTAATTTGACGTGTCCTAAATACAACTCTGGCCAAAGAGAAAAATGTTATGCTATTTTATCAAATGCAACACATAGGAGGAAAAGAATATTTAGAAATTCACATTACAACACGAAGTTGAGTGGAATGAGAGAATAAATAAATAAAAGGAGAAATAACATAAATTCTCATGCTTTATCTAATCGAACTCCTACAACTCCGATGCACATCAAACGCTTAATTTTATGGCGTCGTGGAATTTTTTTAAGGATTTTAAAGAAGATTTTTGAAAATTCGATGGAAAGCACATTTTGAGAATCATTTGAAGGAAAAATAAATGAAATTTTGATTTTATGGGAACAAATATCGATTTAGCTTTTTATACAAAAATGATTTCCTTAAAATTATCAGAATTTTAATTATTTTTAAGAGAAAAAAACTTCACGACAATCTTCCAAAGAATCTCAATGAGTCCACTTCATTAATTAATAAAATGTAATCATAATTTGTAATCAACATTTTGTTTCAAAACATAAACAATTATCGAGAAAATCAAATCAGATTGAAAAGCGTTGGAATTGGAAGTCAAATTATCACTAACGATGAAGGATTGTTTTTGTCTTAAGATGTCTTCATCATCTCGCTTCATGTCACATCAAACCGATTTTTGTGTCGGGCATAGCCCAAAAAAAATTAACGTCGAACGATGAAATTGACTTTGACAGGAATAAGTAGAAGGGAGAGCTGAAGAAAATTAGTCGAAGGGAGACGGCAGTTAATTGCGTTAATTATCCACTCAGTGAATTTTCTCTAAAAATTGTTTTTTAAATCGCGACACGTTTTAGTAGCGAACGAGATTTCCATTTCAATTGTCTCTTAATCTTATAACAAGCTCCCCATTGGCGAAAAAAGTTTCGAGAACAAATTATGTTGTTTGTCAACTAAACTTGTGTGACGAAAAGTTTTATTGACATAAGGCACTTGCCAACATTGAATAAAATTCTTCATTCAAATTCACACACGAACAGATGCCTCAAGTTTAAGATCATTCTGGAACATTATTCAGGTACAAGCACGAAAGACGTCATTATATTGAAGTTAAAAACAACTCACATTCATTTTATCAATATAATTCCAGACTGTTCAAATATGGGACATTGATACACATTCTCAACTATGTGTTTGTGTCTCAAAATGAATAACATGTGAGACAACCATTGCGAGGAGACTTTAATTAAATGATTATTGACGTCGAATGATTGAAATTCTTAGAATCGCGGCGAGGACAAGCGTGAATTAATTTCGACAAGCTTTGCGGTAGGCAGCGCATTCATTAGTACTCACAATTGTCACATTTCATAAGCTAATGAGCATTTGAAGTTGAGGTAGTACGAATCAATGCCATTGTCATGATGAAGGCTGCCTAAGACCTCAAAATTTTCATAAAATTTTATTCTTAATGCTTTAGATGAAAGCATTTAGTCAATCTAAAACTATCACTGGTGACAAGCATTATTTGTTCTACGGTCGAACGATAGCAAAATTGAAGAAGAAAGATCAAAGCGAAATTTAATACATACGACATGCTTGTGAGATTTAAATTCAAAGAATAAGTTTTCGATTGATTGAAACCATCTCTACTGTAAGATAAATCTAAGCAAATCCCTAAAACGAAGATATCACTAAGCATACATTGATGAAAAATAAAAAAAAATCAACAAAGATTTTCTCTTCTTTATCTAGAGCATTGAAATTCGATATCATTGATTAAAACGTATTCGGAGCGAATGAAGTTTTATTTTATGGAATTTCACGCAACAGAAGTTCTCTGCTCTTGTTTCTAAAGTTTTCATTACTTTTCAGATATTTTTTCTTTGAAACTGAAGGAAAATGAAATGTTCGCGAATGCATTTAAGTGACAGACGCTACAAACCACCACCAAAAATTTCCAAGAGTGAAAATGTTATGCCGATAATTCGTCCATGTATACAAAGCGCATTAACTGAACTTCCACAACGATTTAGCAGTGTTCGCTCGTACAGGTAAAATTTATTCATGCATGGTAGGTAGTAACAATAAAAAATCGATAATCTTAACAACATCAGAAGCTCTCGCCGATGGAAATTTATCAAATCTAAATTTAAATTATGCCATTAAATGGGAAATTAATTTTTAATCGCCACCAAAATTTCAGCATTAATATTCTAGCGTTTTCGTTGAGAAATTGAATGAACATGTGTTTGAATGTTTTGATGTTGAATCCAGGAGAGTATCGTGGAGAAATTCAAATGATGCTTTGGTGTGCGAATTTGTTGCTTTACCGAATCCGCTTAGGCCATTAAAATAACTTATCTTCATTCAAATTAGATTCCTCCCTTGACCAACAGAATCAAACACAAAACGATAAAACACACCATTCAGCCTAATTTCCATGGAAATACTGATGTTAATAAATTTGTTGGACTGGAGAGTGAGAAATGAAATAAAGAGAGGAAAAAGAATCAACAATTAACGCAAAAAAATATAAATCAAAATGAGACTCCAAGAAGACATTCAGTCGCGATTCATATAAACTTTAATAAGACAAGCGAAACAAGTTTTTAACTGTTTGAATAAAAAAAAGTTTCGTTGAGCGGATCAAGCACATACATACTAGCGAGCGGCATACGTCTTTTGATAGTTTTATTAATTATTTTTTTGCATGTGCTTTCATAATTTTTTTTTTTTGAGATTTTTATTGCCATTGGCTTTGCGAAGAATTTCTTGGAATTATTTATTGGATTGTTAAACAACTATAATTAACGAGAGAGTGAAACTAAAAATGATGTTTTTGAATGATATTTAGACAAATTACTGGACAAGAACGCTATGATGTTTTCGCGATTGTAAATTGATGTGTAGACGATGGTCAGACAAACAAATCGTTGTGACTGATCACAACAAGTCATTAAAACTTAGATTGAAGTTATAAAAATGTTCGTGCGATTTTTATTTCTCTGATTAAGTCTAAGATCACATCTTTCGTAACTTATTCACGTTGTTGTTACCCTGAAAAATAATCGATGACATTTCTTCTCGAATTTTTAAATGTATTGCCTTCTTTTATTCCCGTCGTGCTGTATAGCATCGCTGTAGGCAAATAAATAACTTTTTAATTAAAGACTTCTCTTCGGCAACTGTGAATTTGAATATTCATCTGGTTCAATATTCATTCGTTTCGAATGTAGTCATAAGAGCATTCTATGTGAGCCGCAAAACGACATTTCATGGAAATTTTCAGTTTCTTTTTTCTAGGGATTTTAAAATTTCGTTGAAATAATTGATTATAAGCTTTTCTACATTCTTTATTTGGCGCCGCTCATAAATTGTTTGCCATCTATGATAATAACATTTCATTCTTTTTTTTTGCTTCCTTTTCACAGAAGTTCATCGCCACACACAACAAACTCTGACCCTATGTCGTCTGATGGACAAAAAACACCGTTGATTATCTGCAACTTGAATATCGCACCTAATGTTAAAACTCTCGCACCAAAAAATAATATTAAGAAAAACGCAAGAAAGCTCCCGCCGTTTTGTGTGCAGTATCAAAACTCTTTAAATAAAAGCAACGCCTTTCAAGAATCTAACTTGAAAACTATGAATGATTTCATCGTACAGGGAACATTGATCGCAAACCATAGACGCCGAGTTCGTCAAACAAATCACGCAGGCCATCAAGACTCGCCCGACATCATCATAAATTGCGAAGATGATGAATATGTTGAGTGTACGGATATCGCTATGAGTGTGTTTAACAACATAAACACCGACCTCCTGTTGAGTCTCGACTGCTTTGAAATGGATAGCTTTGGAAGATTGCCCGGTGATAGTCGAACCCCAACGCCGATTTCTAAACCGTCGATGAATATTGCGCCATCAACAAGTGAAAATATGATTCAAAATCAATCAACTTCTGCCCTTTTAGCGGTTCCTGCTGGCTATAGGCCACTTAGTCTTCGAGCATCGTCACCTAATATAAAATCTATAATTCGAATAGATCTTGTGAATCGTGATAGGACAAGAGCGGAAGAAAACATCAAAGAAATAAACTATAACTTCAATCGATTGAAAGAGAAACGAGGCATGAGAGATCTAAAAAGTGACAAATCGTCCTAGAGACTAGATTAAACATCATCACTGACTAAACTGCTGTGAAAATAAAAAGAAAAAGAAGGAAAGAAAAAACATTGAAAAATTTCCAATGAATAATAATTTTTAATCGTTTCTATGGTGCTAAGATATCTAATAATTAAACACTTTTTTCCGCAAGGAAAGACTTTGATTAGTCGACTGATTAATTAGTTTCATTTCCTGTTGTTTTCATTCGAATTTAAGTATTCATTTTTCAAAAGAGAACATCCTCGACTCTTCCTTCTTTTCAAAATAAAAAAACTTATCGTGAACGAATAAAATCGTTTCAGAAAACTTAAAATAAAACTTATGAATATTTATGATGTTTGTACATTTGGAACAACAACAAAAAAAAAAATGTTTCAACAGCAGACTTACAAACGTTTTTCAATAACAAATTATTAATTATTTCGTGTAGATAATATTTTCTAGAACAAGTTCACGATAACACAACAGTTTCCCAAATTGACAATTAAAAACGAACGATGAACCTTATGCAACAACTTCTGTTGAAGTCTTTAAATGTTTCTTCGTTTGTTTTTATCTTGACAGCCAATAAACTGCTAGAAAAAACCTTAGTAATAAATTAGTTCTTCGTCTTCTCTTCCTTAATATATTCAACAGTGAAACCTATAATTTATCCGCGTAGCACTAAAGCAAAGACAAAACAAAAAAGAGACGAAAAAAAAATCATGAATAATATCGAATAACATTAAGTAGACTCAATTCACATGTGTCTTAATTCTAAACAGAATTTCATAAACGTAATCTAAGCTGATCGGCTTGCTTGTCGTCAATGATGAAATATAATTAAGTGTTAATTGTTACAGTAGATACAATTGATTGATCTATCATGATTTTAATATTTTGATATTTGATTAATATCTATGATTAATTAGCTTGATTGGATGAATTACTTTATTCCTTTATTAAATATTGTTTTTTCCTTTACCTTTGAAACTATTTAAATAAATAATCAATTAGATAGAAATTTATAATAAATATAAATCCATTCAAGTGCATAAACTACTTGAAAGATTCCAGTAAAACACAAAAAAAAGTTATCTCATAAAAAATTCTTTGATCGATTTTGTTTTCCGGGTAAAAAGGTTGATTTGTTAACTTCAGTAGTTTCTTTTTCATTTTTAGCAAAAAACTATTCGAACCGTAACATTTGATTGCCATTCTGGGTAAAAAACAATAAAAGGTCAATCTCCTAATTTAAATAAAAAATCTTCATCAAAAATTGTATAAAAACTAATAATAGGTTTTGCTATGTTTTTATGAGTTCCACGAAATTTAAGCGCAGCGCAACAAAATGTGTTCGATTTTGGATTTAACTTTTTTTATATTTATTTCAGGTCACTGTCGGTCCTCTGCAAGCTTTGAATTTTTTTTTCTCTTATAATTACAGAGATCCTATGTTTGGCTAGAAAATGAATCTACAATTTCAATATGTTTTATGGCCATTAATGACATGGGAAGTTGTAGAAGTGCAATCAAGAATTAATATACAACAGACGAGGAACTGAATAAAGAAAACTTTCTTTGATGTTTTTAATTTTAATGCTTTCTTATCCACCTAGAGTAAGAAAGAAGTTTCATTCGAAGAAATTCACTCTTATCTTGCTAAAACAACATAAATCAATCACAGATAGTATTTCGTCTTCGATAATTCCTTTGATTCCACTGCAGCGATTGTAAAAATAACTTAAAGTGCAATAAAAACTCCCCTAATTTTTTCTTACCTGAAACAATGCAGAGAATAATAAAGGAAGAACGAAAAAAAAAATCTGAAACAAAAATCACCATCCATGATGTCGTTCATTATCTCTGTGATGTTGAGAACAACAGAAATAATAATAATAAAATAAAAAAAGCTATGGCTAATATATTATGTTAGGCATTTGACAGTAATTGTCTTCAAACAGATGAAAATTCTCGTTAATAATAAAAGTCTTTTCGATGATGCACCATGAAGACATAGACAACAGCAGAGAACCGTTCACACACGCATAGCTTAGCTCTACGAAAATTTAAAGGTAATTTAATGAAAACGAGAGCCTTCATATCATTTCGATACAATATATTACAGTTGAGTTTGAGAAAAATACATCCCCAACGTCACAAGAACAATAGATGGTCATAATTTTTTTTCCTTCTTCTTTTCCTTTCGTTTTTCATTCGCTTTTTCTACTTTAATTTTTTTCCAGTTATATAAGGGATTAAAAGTTGAAAATCATAAAGGCGCCAGCGGCTTCATTTAGCCTTAGGGGTCTTCTTATGTTCTCGTTCGTCTTCTTTCTTCAAGAAATTACTTTTTATGCGCCCTTTTCAATGTTCTTACAAATGCAACACTTCACAAACGTCGACATTCTTAATTGTAATCTTATGTTATTTTATTTTCTGGTTGGTCAAGATTTCTTTTTTTTAAGGGATGTTTAACATGCCTTTATGTATTCATTTCATTTCTTATAACTGGTTCTTATTTATGTTGTCAATTCACCAACGGGAAATTATTTCGTTCCTTCACTCACTCATTTATAATGGGATGCGACCTTTTGAACCTTCATGTTGTCCAGAAAAGTTTTAACTGTCGTCGTTGGGTCATCTTTAACCTTTTTTCGTTGACCTGGACACTAGTTTGACCTGTACGTGTGCTAGTTATTTTTGTAATGAGGTACAAAGTCGTTATTTTTTATGTTTATTCATTGCATTATGTTTGAAAGATATTATGAGAAAGAAATAAGTAAGACTTTCCATCAAAAATACGATAGCCTTGAAAAGAAGACGAAGCAAAATAGAAATAAACGAAATCAATCAGGATTAACTGAAAATTTCATCATATATTTATTTTATTTTTTTGTTGCTCTGTATTCTGTTTCTGTCCTATTCGCATCATGTGTTCCACATCATGTTCATCCTCCTTGAATTAGCTTCTTTCAAGATTCGATCCGAAACGAAAATTGGAAAATCATACACGACTTGACATCATAGGACGTTTGTGGATGAGTTCTTTTATTAAGAAATCAAAAAGTTGATTGTAACGACTGATGAAGTTTTCGAACTTATTTAATCCTTGAAGCCATATTATTAACTCTCCATTCATTGTGTTTCGTCAGCTGTAATATGTATTGAAATGGAATTTTTGATTTTAAATCAATTTCAGATTGATGGAAAATTACAACAGAACAAAAATATGTTTTTAGAAATTTCGAAAAGTTTGTCAACGACTTGACATAGCAGAACTCCGTTTGACATCAACCGTAAATTAGTTTATTAGCACGAATGGAAAAACAATCTTCATGAAATGTTAATTTCTGCTTGACGGCGAGAATTTTCTCTTTTAATTTTTAATGATTCATTTTTTTCCTTCTTACTTTTCTCAATACACAAAGATGTTGTTGTGAAGCAATTCAAAACTGTCGCTTTACTTATTAAAGAAATTTACTTATTAAAGCGCGACGATGATGAAATTTGCTTGTGCATTAGCAAGTAATTAATTTTAAGTGTTTTCCGGAATGGCCGAAATGGTTGGAAAAACGCGAAGCGAAAGAAAAATCGAAATTAATATTTCATGGGCACGTGGAGTGGGAATCATAACTCAACTCAATACCGAATGCTTACTTATTGCCATTCTCCGTTCCTTGATTGCGATGTTTTTGTTCCCCTTTTCCCTTCCATTAATATTTCGATGGATGTTTTTTTCTTCTTTTCCAATCGAAATGTCATTTCGTTAAATTTGATGTGTCGTCAACGGAGAAGAAAAATGATAATTTGTTCTTTTGCTACCCATTAGAATCAAAGCGTGAAGTCATAAAGTCATCAAGTGGCTATCATCAGTCATTTATAAAGTGTTTGTTGAGGATCCTAAAAATACTTATATTGGTGTTAAGAAACTAATAAGCATTAAGATATAAGAACAAGGTTGGGAAATCAAATTGAATATCTATAATCTTGTCATTGTGGAATAAAAATCAATCTTTAAGATTCCAACCCATTCAAAATACCTTAAATTATTTCATCACACATAAATTTTTACTATTTTAAAAATATTTTCCATGATATTTTGTCTCATCATCATTAATAATCTAAACTAATCGTTTGTGATATTTATTATGTTTTTACAAAGTTTTATTATTTTTTTACCTTGTTGATAAAAGACGTAAAACTAACCAAGCAATATTAGATCTTTGCTTTTGACATTAAAGATGAAAGAACCATGGGTGGCCGACTTCAATGAATCTCAATCAACGAGTTAAAGCTAGCAAATTATTTATTTAAGCTTGGGTATGTAAGATAATCGATAGTTTTTCCGCTTGGGAAAATTTATCAAAAATAAGCAGTGAAGAAAAGAAAGGACACACTTTTTTAATGTAAAGGTTGTTTTGGAGGGGGAGCGGAAAGGGAAAAAGAGACCCATCGAGACATAAAATCTCAAGAGTTAAAGATAATGGGACGCAGACACGAAATGAGTGTGAGGGTGTCGCAAAAGAAAGGGAGCTTCTGAACGATGGTTTAACTTTCAGTGTCACAATGGGAGCAAAGAAAGGAAGAACTTGCGGTCAATAAACCTTTGCACGCCATTCATGTTCATTTTTTTCCTTTTTCCCACATTTAGAAAAGAAATGATCCCATGACCCAAAGACCTAATTTCGTCCCATAAAAAAGGATGTAATTGATAATTGTATTCACTTGTTGTTTGTTGTTCTTTTGGGAATCCCTCTAAGGGATCGCAAGGGGCTTTCTTAGGAATGTCTGATGTCTTCACGTAAACCATTTTCTCGAAATAAATCTTCTGTTGCACCCAAAAACTCTCTCTTTCTCACTCTGCTAAATTCTTCTTTTTCTTTCTTTTGGGATCCATCTGATCCATTTTCCACTTGATACCGTCATCAAAAAAATTATTACACGCCAGACATACTAAGGGTGTCCCTTTTTTCCTTTCTCTGATGAATTGGCCTGAAATACCATAAATGCACCAATAAAAATGTTGGATAAGCAGCAAGTGAAGGAGAGAGAATGAGTCCATTGCCCCTGGTGTCCTTCAAATAATTTCCCATAAAAGTTTTCCTCGATTAAGCTTTAAGAGCCAAAACAAGTAAACAAACAGTTTCATTTACTGACTTATAGACTCACATGATATTTGACTTTGAGTGTGATGCGAATATGCGGGGAAAAAGGAAAGAGGGCGTTAAGAAAGAAGAAAAAGGAAAAAGGCCTCGACTGAAAGAAAAGGAAAAGATACAGAAAAAAAAAAACATTTTTATTAAGGGAAAAATAGTCGAATTGAGCAAAATATTAATCATTGAGGTTTTTTTTCTTTCTGTTAGAAGGTTGAGAAAAAAAGGAAAGAGAGAAGGAAATCTCGTGTTTGTATTTAATGCTAGTAAAAGTTACTGACCTTTCCCTTTAGTCGAGTTATTAAGATGATGACCCTTATCTTTTACGAGAAGCCTCGACCTTCTTTTCCCTTTTGTCTTGCAGTTAGTGGGCCAATTTCATTGAAAGCAAAAGATTTTTGATTCGTAATCTTGGATAACTTTAACAAGCTTAAATTACTCGTATAGATATTAGGATTACCGTAAGGCAGTTAACATTAAAGTATCTAACCGTAACGTTCAATATTTTCCTATTTTACGCCAGTGAGTAATCACCACATTCCTAATTAAATTACTTTTTATGGGACTGTAAGCAGTTAAAATGAATTTTTTATTAAGTATTCGTCCCACACGTCCTATCAACGTGAAACTTAACCGAAAGTAATTAGGAGCAACTTCAAGTGCAATCGGTCTGAGAGTTAACCTAATTTGCTTTCTTCCGCCAGACTAACAAAAAAAGGTAGAAATCTCTCGTCTGCGATCATTTTGCAGACGAGAAATGCTTCAATGATATATTTCGCTTTTGGGATCTTAACCCTTTTCCGGTGCATCTCTATTCATTTTTTTGGGTTGAATTATTGGGGATTCCCTTTTTCCCTTGTACAATCGTCAAAACAAAAAAAATGTGGTGTATGCTCTTAGGATATAATAAAAGTTTCCTAAAAAACCGAACGAATTCAGGTCAAATAAAGTGTCTGGCATTTAGATCTTTTAATGAAAAAAAAAAACTTCTGAATGAATGTGATGAGAAAGATTCAATGACCCCGATCCCTTTTTAGGATCCGAAAGAGAGAACACGGTGCGAGTAAGAGAACGGTACAATCCCAAATTTTCCTAAAGTCTAACCCGACAAAGGCACAAGACCGACCCATCCTAAAGGGCTGCCCCCACGCAAAAAAGGTTCTGTTGTGTTGATGTGTCTCCACCGCTCTTTTCACTTCCCCACCCTGTTTAGTGTTTTTTTTTTTGGGTTTTTGATGGATTTAATCGAGACAGATATTATTAAAGCTCACAAAATGCTGTAAGTAAGGTCGAACAACAAAAGGATCATCAAACGTTAAACATTGAAGGTGAACATTATTTTCCTGGATACTTCATTCACTCGCGCAAATGCAAATCATAAAACAATTTCGTACTTAAATTACAGCAATTACACATTTTTACATTTTCCAATGCTTACCTTAAAATCGCTTTAGTGCATAGACGACGAAGTCGTAAAGCAATCAGAGGCAATTCATGCTTGAATCACTTTTCGAAAATCGATTTAACTGTTAAGCAAGAAAATGAGCAAACGAGAGAAGAAATAAGAAAAAATAAGAAAATTACAAGCGTATCGTAAAATGCCATTAAACTATTTTTGTTTATTAGCGATAACTAAGTAAAACGAGGAATAGAAGATTGGGGAAAGACTCCGTAAAAATTTAATTACCTGAAACTTTGGATTTTGAAAGGAAAGCCGACTTTAACGCGCAAAGGTTAAAGATTTACAACAGCATTAAAGGAACTTTCTTAAGCACCGAGAAGAAAAGAAAATGAAACTTTTCAATTTATGATCTCACTTTAGGACTCAATGTTGGAGTGTTTACCGTAAACGAAGTTATGAAGTAATACTTGTAATTAATAAAAATTGTGCACCAGATGGTCACCATTCACCAACTCTCAAGCTTTCTTCCTTATTTTCTCAAAGAAATGTTGTTAACTTTATTTTATTTGTAAATTGTTGAAAAATTATAAAAAGAAAGTCTCAATTGGAAGTAATGAAGAAATAAAATTAGGAGAAAAAATGAAATTAAATATTGTAAATTCTTTTTTACTCTTGCCTCAAGGAACTTGATGAAACGATGAAGTATGCTGGCAAAGTTCTGCAAGATTTTCCCGGGATTAAAAAATCTTTGCTAGCTCCTTTCAACCATCTAAAAATAAAAAACTCTTCTGTCACGTCCACGCGAAATTTTTCCTCAATTTTTTTTTTCATCTCATTCTGAAGTTTTCCCCCTTTTTTCATCTCATAGATTCTTTTAATTTACATTTTTCACTCTTTTTTCTCATTCTTTCTAAAAGAAATGGCTTTTTTCTAAGCTTCGCTTTTTGCGTCGATTTTTCCTTCTTATTTTTCTCATTATTAAAAAAAACTTTTCCATGGTAAAAGGAAAAAGAGTTGAAGTCCTTCTTTTCGATAAAAAAAAGAAAAAGGTTGGTATGATGATGAAGAAGTAGATGGTGAAGAGGCGTAGGGGCGATTATTTCTTAAATGCTATTGATTTTTTTCCACCCACTTCCCACTCGATTTTTCAACCGACTTCGCGATGGTGAAGGAAGAATTTTCAACCCTTTTTTAATTCTCACTTTTTTTTCTCATTACGAGAAACTCATACCATCTTAAGATTCTCATCGTCCGCAGCTTTCTTTTTCTTTTTGTTATTCTTAAAAAATTGATTTCTTTTCAATGACCGAGATGAGAAAGGATATTGAAGAAGAAGGGAGGAAAAGTTGAGTTAAAATGTATAGAAAAATCCGAGGGTTATGAAATTATTTCATAGTATCGTCATTTTTAAATTGTCCCTTAATACGTCTTATGTTTCGCTACCCACTCTTGCCTCCCTCTATTTACTGTTTTTTTCTCTTCTTTTTCGTTAACGAGATAAAACTGAAATTAATGAGTGGCGTTTTTTTTTTCTTTCTGCTTTTTTTTGCTGCTTGGCATACAAGAAAGAAAAAAAATATCTAAAGAAATTTATGTTTCAAGAAGAAAAAGAAAGAATAAAAAGTTGGGCAACATGAAAAAAAGGGGGACAGTGAGGAAACGGAGAAAGGAAGAAGAAAGTGAAAGGGTTGCGAAATGGAAAAGTGAAATTCGAGACCGAGCACAATGGCGTGAGACTCTCCAAGCTCTTCAACTGATTATATTTTTTTCATTTTGCAAAAAAGACCGAAGTGAAGCTGAAATCTATTAGAGTGAAGTGCGTTGAGCAATCATGTTAAAAAATCCCTCATCCCGTGAAACTTTTATGAATTCGAATAGCTTGAAATTTAAGGAAGAATTTTTTTTCTTCATCTCCGTTCGCTCACATCAAGAAACATAAATTATTGACACATTCAATTGTATTACTGGATGATGCTAAGTCATCGAGGAAATTACACGTTGGCATTGTGAGTTAATCAATCGAAGTTCCACATTTATAGAAGAGGGGGAAAATGGGCAAGGGAATAGTTATCGAATTTCTATTTTCGACAACTATGAGCATTCACAAATATCAAATTTCAAATGGAACAGTTATAACTTAAGTGAATGAAATTTATTCTGACATTCTACTTTGCTTTAGTTAATGAAGGAATTGTGCAACAGAAAAGCTATTCATCAGGACTTTGCGGTTTCAAGGTCAATTAAAATTGTTTCTCATTTTTGGAACGGGAAATAGGCGGGTTAGAACAATGCAACATATCAAAAATGAACATTTCTCGTTTGCTTATTTATATTTTTTAACTTCATCATGAATGAATGTATGTTTTAAAACTTCTTGATTGCATCATCAAATGAAAATGAAATTAAAGAGAACAGCGGCGAGACATGAAACAGTACCGAATTGTTCTAAATGAAAATTGTTTGATGACTGAAATTATAATTCATAAACTGCATAATGAATAAAAGAATGGCTGACTTTCAAATTATTTGGATGAAGTGGTCATACAGTCACTTGATAGTATCAAGTCAATCATAATGAGTCATAATAATTATTCTAATTAATTCATGTATGCATCATTTACCCCATACTGAATTATAAAGCAAAAAAATAACCATTAGAAGAACAACATTGTTTATTTTAGAATATCACATGTCATTTTTAACTGATAGGTAATTAAATTTATTCTCTTTTATTAATCAATTTTAACAGAACAGTCAAATTGGTTATATCTAAAATAAAAGAAACTTCGTGAGCGTTTTATTAATGTCAAAAATAAATTGAAGACTTTGTTATTAAACTGTCTGCTGGCTGATCATATATTTCATGGTCATAGCTATAGCTTCAAATTTGTCTGTTGTTGATTGCTCAGAGCTATCATCATTATAAATACATGGATAAATTATCGAAAGTTCTTGAACTTAACTTGTTCAGAATAATCGTTTCATTTTATTTAATTAACTGTTTAAATGATGGATTTTTTATTTGCACTATATGGAACGAAAAATATCAATAATAGTAAATTTAACTTTATTTAGCCTCAAATTAATGATAATAAGCAAGTAAATAATAATATTTTCGACAAAAGTTATATTTATCTTTTATAATTAACCTGTTAATTAAATTCAATAACAATAATGCTGTTGACAACGAGACAAATGTTTTGCACTTCACATTCAAACATTGGCCTTATGTAAGGTAAAATGAGAGACCAATGCCAATTTTTTTTTAATTTTATGACTCACGAAAATAAATAAATTTCAATTTCAAATAAAAGTTTTGGGTAGCACAAAATCATGGGAACACAGACCCATATATTTAAGCATGTTCCTATTTTTGTTGATATCTTTTGGCCTTCCAGGTTGTGATTAATTCTGAGAATTACAGAATGCACGTTTTTTTCAATACGATTAGCACACAGCTTAAAATATTGGGCCAATGATACAAGGATTAAACACGCCAAAAAATTCCTCTGACGATAAATCCCATGAAATTTAAAAGACTTTCAGACTTCAACTTCATCTTTTAATACAAACTTAGATATATATGCAATTGAGCTTAAACGTTTTATTCGTTAAAAAAAACTTTTTGCCGACAAATGAACCCGATCGTTTCAATTTAATGAGACGTTGTTTACTTATTATTATTTTACTCTTCGCAAACAAAACTGACGGTTTTGTTTTTGTTTTAGGATTAAGTCTCAAACTTGAGATAATTAGAAGCATCAGACAATGTTCAACATTTTTTATTGAATAATTAAGCAGCAGCATTGGCTTTGGAATCAATTGAATAACAATGTTTGAATATAGCACTGAAATGCTTCAAAGCGTTCTCATCAACATTATGGGCGGTCCTTTTGAAACTCTCAAAACTAAAATCTGACATTTTAATATTTTTTCTTTTCTTCTTATTCATACAACTTCTTCATTGATGCAACTGAATTAGCAAGAATCGTGAACCGCACATTTGTATTTGATTAATTTTTGGATTTCTGGTGAGAAGAACAAAAAAAAAGTAAAAAAAAAAACAGCCATTCCATGAAACAGAAATGAAGAAGAAGGCCCTGGTGACGACACCAAACCAACACAAAAAAGAATCGAGCTAAACAGAACGAAACTGTTAATTTGTAAATAATGCGAAACTAATGTTCTGGTCAATTAAGTGCCTGTTCGAATGATTCTCGATCGATTACAAATCAAGTTGCAGTTTGTGTGTCTCTAAATTGACTGGTATTTACTCGAAATTATATACACCGCTGCAAAAACTTTACCACAATGAAGTGATAATGATGATGAGTAAAATGACTTTGCTGTTTTTCATACGTTTCCGCGCTCATCGTTCTATTGACTTCAATTCATTGAGCATTATCGTTTTACGTTTTTTTTCTGATTTTTTTCTCTTTACATTGTTTAATAGCGAACTGGAATTTCATAAATGTTTATTTCCTAAAAATGTCTCTTAAATCTATGAAGTTTGCTAAGCAACGACAGTTTAAACGAGAAATGAAATCAATTTTCTGAAATATTTTCAGTCATCATCATCAGTGAGCATATCTACGTAAATCAAGTGTATCAATTCTTGTTTTCGTCGGTAAACCGCGATAAATTTTCTATTTCTTTAACAAAGAAATGCTTGAGTTGAATCATACGTTAACAATGTGTGGCAATTATCTCGTTGTTAATAAAAACAAAACAATGACTCAGTTTTTTAGTCTGTAATAAAGAAACGAGTTCCCCTTAAATAATTCTCATGCTGTGATTCAATCTCTTGAGATTGTTCGCATGCGACTATAAAAGTTTCACTTCTGGGTGATTGCAAAATTGAGAATATCCTTTCTTAAAGAATAAATTCTTAGAAGATATTTCCCAAGGATATTTATAAATTCAGGCAATTAAAATTACAGCAGTGTGAATGCATATTTGCTACGTGTTCACGCTTTCATAAACTTTATCATTATTTAAAGAAAAAGAAACAGATCACCTTGCCAATTCTCTTTCTGTATGTCTTACGTCGTTTCTTATTTTCTGTCGTCCGTTATTCTCATTGGATATTCTTTTAAAACACAAATTCTCGGAAACAGCTTCATCCATAACAGGTTTAGTCTTTGCTTAGAAACTTATAAATTTAAAAAGACAAAACAGAAAAAACGAATCTCAAAATTGTTTTAATTATATGCTAGTAGAGCAGCAGATATAAAAAGAAATCGTGACAGTAGGATTGTATTTCGTTTTGTGAAATGATGTGTGAAATTATGGAAATACTCATGCAATGCTTCATACTCGAAGAATAAAATTTTGTCTTAAATCAAATTAAACTAAAATATTTGTAGCCTTTCCAGCTCTCAATAGACAACAGAAATATATCGAAAAGTAGTTAAATAAAATGATAGCCTGAAGAATTGATCATAAAACGACAGGGTAAATCATAGACGATTACATTCCTACCTAAAATTTTACTTCTCTGTTTTGTAAAAAGGAAATGAGCAGATTTTGTATTTTTATTGCTTTTCCACGCGATGTTTTTACACCGTTCGCGATGCGTACAACGAACAAGAGGGAGCGACAAAAATGCTCGCTGAGGAAAAAAAGCATCGTAAAAAGGCGGCGAATAATAAAGCACATACTCGGGGAATTCGTTAAATGGGGGAAATTCTATCGCACTCGCTACCTGTTGCACAATTTGTTGAATTTTGCTGCAATGACAGCGATAAAAGAAAGGCAAATCACAGTTTTAATACAGAAGGATAAGTGACACTTTATCATTATTATGGTAATATTCGATTACAATAAATCCTAGTCATACACAGAATGCACTTCCAATTGAGATGAAGGGTGCGCGATGATAGAGATACAATGGAAATGAATCTGTTATAATATAAATTTATTTAACTGCTTTCGATGTCAAGATTAACATTTTTTTAACAAACAACTTACTCAAGTGCACTCAAAGTTATTCAAATTCAAATCGCTGCCTTTTATTCTCGTTTCATTTAAATTTCAAATTATATTTATTGCAATCCGATATCTTCCCATTGGTTTCAAACTCAAGGATGAAAAAGAACAGTATTCAATATTTTCTTTTCATTTAATTTCCTTCTTTCATGATTGAATTGTTGTTTCAACAAAAAACAAATAAAAATATGATGATTTTTTCCTTTTTTTCTCACAAGCCTCACAGAGCCTTTCGATGCTTCCAGTTTGTGTTAGCACGATAATATTTATTTTTAACGCACACTAGCATACGAAAATTTTCATTTTCCAAGCATAGTTTGAAAAACTGTTTGCCAACCAAAACCTAAACATGTCCTAAACAAACAGAAAAGTTCGCACTGAAAAATCTATAGAGATCTTTTCTTAACTTAACATTTCTCAAGTGAGAGAAGAATCTCATCACAATCACAAATAGAAATTTTTAGTTCCATACTTTGAATTGGATGAAAATTTTTTTGTCATTAAAGGAAACTAACGATTTTTGCTTCTGAAAGATGAAAGGTTTCAAGTGAGACTCTCAAATACAATTTTATACATTCAGAATTGAATGGTTTAATGTCGAAGAAATTTTGAGTCATGAAAATGCTCAAAATTTTATTCAAATTTTCGTTAAAAATGACAACTCGGCAAATATTATTTCAATGTTAAATTAGAAAAGCTTCTCAACAGTCGTTAATATTTACATCATCAGTATAATAGTTTAGTTGAAGGAAACGCAAGTGAAAGCAAAACGTAAATGTGTGTCCACGCATTACTTGACGGTTTTGCGAGAGTTAAAAAGACGACTCGACATCACTTGAAGAATAATAATTTCCCATTAAGGCTCGAGACGTTTTCTTTCCTTTTCTCCATCGATGGGAAGAAGAGAAGCAGAAAAAAATTGTTTTCTAAAGCATCATTATACGTGCTAAACATCCTTTGGCATTTCTATGTTCAATAGTTCTTGTGTGTGAGAGTGTCTGTTACTCTGAAGAAAATGAATAGGTAATGTGGTAATGTAAGACATAACAACACAGAGAAGCAAGCATAAAAATGTTCTACGAGATACTTAACTCGTGAATAGTTACACTTCCCCTCCCATGCCCTTTTAATGTTGTCGAAGAGATTTCTTTATATTCTGCATCATGTATTCATGATACTCATTGCTGAATCTCTCTCTATCTACTCGTTCATTCGTTTGCTTTTTTTTTTTAGATCTTTGTGAATCTTTTATGCTGTAAATATTCAACATTGAATGAATGATAAATATTCTGCCGTTAAATTAAAAAAAAAGACGCTAGACTACTCAAGGTTGTCAGTCATGATTAAACGATAGTTTTCAAGAACATCCATAAAAAACATAACAACTTTCTTAAGATTTCTTTCTTATTTTATGTTGTCATTTGAGAATCATTCTGCGTTTAAATTCGTATCGTAGAGAATCATTTTTTTCTCAACTTTTTCTGCAATATCATTCATCCAGATGACTAAAAATCTCATCTCCTTTGTCAAGACACAAGTTTCCTATCCAGCAATCTTTTTCTTCCATTATACAATTCATTATTTTCCATGGAAATGTCTTAATAGCTTCATTCTTGAATCGCAAGCGAAAAACTCTCAAGGATCCCCTTGATGTTTTTCTCCTTAAATTCATTGCCAAAAAAAATGTTTCCCACTTAAGTGTCTAAGCGAAATATCTTTAAAATACTTGGTGGTCAGAGTTGAAATTTGAAAACTTCTACAAACTTTTCTCACTCGAGAGAAATATTCTTTAAAGATATTTACAAGGATATTTAATACATAAGAGAATTAAGACAATTAAAACCTACGAAATAAAAAAGAAGTCGACAAACGAAAAACACATCAAGCTGAAAAGAGAATAGATAAAAGCAGTGTGGAAGTATTGCTATTCTTCTAGATGATTTTCTTAATATTTCAAATAACTAATTCAAGTCCTGAATGCACACTAAAACTCAAATGTTTCTCTGTAAAGGAGTGTGAGTGTGTGGCAATAAATTATTGCTAGGTAAATGAATATCTTTAAAGAAATTTATAAACTTCAAAGAGAGGAAAAGAGAAAGATAGAACGTGTTTGATCAAATTACAGAACAAAATAAGACAAATGGACATTAAAAGTTCTCTGAGATATCTTCAGACATGACATAAAATCATGGAAACCCAGCGTCTAATAATTCTTTATTTCCAAACATCCTTAATGTATTTTTTTCTTCATCTCCTCCTTTACAAGTATGTTTTTTGCTTTGCTCTAGTGATGCTATTATTTGCTGCTTGCTATGTCGATGCTTATGTATATGTCTCGGACCGACAGAGCGTTAATGTAGGGCAATATAACTCAACACAAGATGAAAATAGTTCTTTAAGGAAAGAGAGACGATGTAACGTTAATGATGATGATGATGATGATTTGAAAGAGAACACAGAAGAGAAAAAATAAAATAAAATTATTTTATTTGGCTAAACAAATTTCCTGGTGTTTAACTGAAATATCAAGATGACGTTAAGATTCTTACTTGAAACGTTAAAAAATCAAAATTTTATACATCCCAAGAGATTTAATTCTTTCGAAGTGCCATCATCCCCGGCTAATTAATTGAGAAGATTTTAATTGCTTTACATCTTAATCTATAGCATTCTATCCTCAGATTTCAGAACAATTGAGAATATAGGTCAGTAAACCATCTGGTAACAGAATGAATGTACATAGAATGAAAAAAAAAACATCATCATCATCAAAGATGGTAAAAGTTCCTTTAAGATGAACCAAATAAGAAACTTAATGAAGTAAAATTCTTTTTCGATCTCTTGACTGTGGCTTTCGTTCTTGAGTAGATAAGTTTTTTTTTCTTGTTTTTTTTCACATCAAGTGTGTCTCTAGCTTTCTATCTTTTTGTCTTAAGTTCTTCTTCATTGTTTTCTTCCCACAATTGCATGATGGATAAATATTAAAGGCTCGCAAATGGATCTTAAATGTTTTCTCCTTTTTTTCTACGAATTCTTTCTCCATTTAGAGAGATAGTCCGAAATGTTGTGGCTGAGTTTTCATCACTACAGCTGTTCTATATCGATTTTCCCTTCTTGTGGTTAAAGACGAAGTGAAAGTCTTGCATGATGGAGAGAGTAATTTCTTTCTTCATGTCGTGCAGTGAATGAATCGTAATTTTATTTACGATGAATTAATTTAGGGTGACTGAGGATCTCGCAAATCAATATAACTTAGTTATGAGCAGTTTCTCAGCATTCATGAAAGGGAAATTCAATGCTCGTTCTCATAACTTATAGAGGGATTATGTTTAAATGATTTCGAGCGAGTTTCTCGCTGATTATCACACCCTAATCGGCACACATGACCAGCCTAACAACTCTACGCTTTATATTTTCTTTTGCTCTACTCCGTCTTCATTCCAATGCAGGAAGAGATAAATTTGTATGTTTGTCGAATGTTAAGTAATAATAATGAGTGGTTTTTATTCGAAGAAAAGCTTGAATGAGCAGGCAGCACTCATCAGTGTTTCATTTCTTTTTTATCGGCCTTGAAGCATTTTTTTTCTCTACGCTATTCTTCTCCCTTTTCAACAATTCGTCTTCATTGATTAAAGCTATTAGTGAAGTTCGTGAATGGACTGCGGAAAAAGTCGACCTATAGAAATGCAGCAGCAAGTTTAAGTGGCAAAATTATGATGAAACGACACGATTTGTGTTTAGTCAATTACAGCTTTATTTCAAATCGATTTCATGTTGTTGAATTTTTAGAGATATAAAATGAGAATATTATTCAAATCGATAACGCTGACAATTATTCATACATCTACATTCTTAATGGAATTTTTATCAGCATATCTGGAAGGTTTCATACTTGTCAAACAAAATATCAATACGAAGAACGTTGTTTCGTCGATAAAAAAGATAAAACTTTTACAGTTTGTAGCATTTTCAAGAGTAACTTTTTTATGTCAATAATTTATCAGCTAAGTAACCAACATCAGTCTCATTGAAATGTTTAAACAAGCTCAATTGTTCAATAAATGAGGCTGTATTGAAAGTTTCAAATGTACAATTCGATATTTTTCAAGATATTTATTAAAGAAAAATTAAATCACCTTAAAAAGTTGCAGATAAAAAAATTTCTTCCATTAAATTTTATTGACAACTTAAAAACGAAAAAAAGAAAACTTCGATATTTATAAGTAGAACGCATTTACAGATTTTCTCTAAAAACTGCCATGAAATGTAAAAAATCGATGAATCTTCCAAATGGTCGGGGGTCGACTGGAGCTATGTAGGACAAGGGTGAATACATGGATATTTGAAAAGCAACAACCATTTTCCTGCTCCAGCCTCTCACTCATAATGATAAATTTCTTTATTTTTCTTACATCCCGTTTTACAGAGAAGGTATTTTCTTTCTTTTCGTTTTCGCTAAAATTTATTTCGAAAATAAACAAAATTAATGTTTTTTATGGCTAATTACCACCGGCGCGCTCCAAATAGTAGAGAATCTGCCCTCTTACGATGGACAGAAAGAAACAGTAAAGGATACGTCACAAGTTACGTTTCATAACATATTTAATGAAAGTGTTTTTAAAGATACTCAATGAATATTCAGTCTTGCTCATAACTTTCGTTTTCAATTTTGACGTCATCTACAAAATATCCTAATGAAAGAGATACGACACGAAAATACCAAGCAAGTAAATAAATGGCACCAAAGTCGTTCACCGCGAGCCGCTATATAGTAAAAGGCAATTAAAAAGGAAATTTTTCTTATTTATTACTTTAAAAATACATCCAGAGCATATAAAATTCTTCCTGTGAAAATTCATCTTGTTTCGCTTGCTCTTCGCGTTCCATTAATTCTACCAATTATATACATTTTTCTTTTTTTTCTGCTACAGCTAACGAAATGTGTTTGGCGGAAATACGGCACAAAACTTTTACGTTGTCTCAAATTTTATGGTTGTTTTCGTGTGTTGCTTCTGTTGCTGCTTTGTCATTTTTATATTCATAACGGTTTATTACACAAACCTCGAATCTTTATCATTTAATTTTTCCTGAAAATTTTTCCTCCACAACTTTTCTTGCTTTGCGCCAAATTCCCGCAACAAAGTTTGCTGTAACAGCATCATTATCATAATCAAAACAAATTGTCTGCATATTTGCTTCTGTTTATTGCGGCATAATCTCATAAAATGAGTACAGAAATTTTCACATTCAAATATGTACATATCTTCATTGAGTGTACTGTTGCACGATTTTCATCGAGAATTATTTGGTTTGTTTTCCCACACACCAACCTGATGATTCGCTCTTGAATGCTTAATATTTTCTCATTGCAATACACATTGCACATTCTATACACCCTCTAAATTTGAACGTCTCAAGCTCCATCAATTTTGAATCAGATAACAATTGAAAATTGGTTGATTTTTTTTTTTATTTTCTACTGTTCTCCTATTGTTAAATTTCAGTGCACGAAAATCTGATTTATTTTTGCTCTATTTTCTCTACAGAATTATTCTTCTTGTCTCTATTGTTTAGTGTGTTTCATCTGTTCATGTTTTGCTTTCCGATTGATTGCGACAGAGAGGTAGCAAGGATATATGTACAATCTGAAATACATACGCGGACTTTAGGGGTTGAACTTTCACTATACGAAACCTAACGAAGTCTTATAAGTAAAAAAGAACTCAACAGCTAAGTTATAAGGGAAAAATAAATGATTTTACAAACAAAACAATGAAGAAAGAAATCCTTTTGCACAAAGTTCTCGTCTATAAAACTTTTTTTTTTATTTTCTTTTTTCGGTTCCCACACTCGGTCTCAGATTTTGAAAAAAGAAGAAATGAAAACAGCAACAAGAAAAATAATATGAAAGAGAATTCCAAATTATCTAGAAATATTTTTGTTAAAGCAACTTTTGCTGCTAAAGCATTTGAAAAGAATAAATAAATCGTGATTTATTGAAATTGCAATTGGACCCTGAAATATAAATTTGGATAAATGAAAGATTCTTTGCTTAGTAGAGTTAATGTCTAATCACCTAAAATCAACGAAAGTCGATACAAACAGAACTTCTTAGGGGATTGTTTGAAGAATAGTTCACCTGATAATAAGTTGCAAAAATTCATTTATTAATTCATGGATCTCATATCGGATCGATTAATGAAAGGTAGTTTCAAAAGAGTGGCAGAATTTCTCTCGTGCAACAATAAAAGAATATAAACGAACAAATGCTATTGACAACTCATCTCTTTGAATCGTAAGAAATTTCCGGTGCATAAAGAATGAAAAATGACATTTATGCAGTTCGTTGTGATTCATTCTCTTACCATATGCTGACTACATTTGATTCACATGCGTGTGAAAAATTTTCAGGTGTTTTTTCTTCTCTTTTTGTGATTCTCCTTCAATTTTTTGTACTTGTTGAGTCACCTAAACTGTGACTGATTCCGCATTCCAATAGCAACTCTTCAAGTGGTATCATCACAATTTCTCCCATAAAAACATAATTTTCAGGAAAAATAACATTTGAATTTAAAGGATTTTATAAAAAGCAATATTTTAACTGAATCAGTCATTCAATTCAGTGGAAAATGTGCTGCATCATTAAAATTAATCATTTTTAAAGAATAAACAACGGTTGTTTCTATATTCTTCTTCGTCTTCCTCATCAGGGTAATTTTTGGAGCTGCTAACAGATTTTCTGCATCTTCAATGCATTATCATAAGTAGTAAGGGCTAAATAAGAAATCAAACGAGAAGAAAAGAAGAAAACAAAAAAAGACCAGGTGGTAGTCGAATGATTACTGCTTATTATGAGGAAACACATAACATACATTTTATGTATCTTCTTCTAGAGACTCTGTTGTTTCTTCTTAATCGAAAGGGTTCTTCTTCGAATTACTTCCTATGTATCTCGATGTGCGCTTTTTCTTTTAAACCCTATTCTTTTGCTTTCCCATTTATGTAATCATTCGCTTCTTTTTCATACGATTCCTTTTGTGTTGCTGTTATGTTTTGAGCAATTACAGATACTATTCGAGGGTTTGATAGAAGAAGCTATAAGCTTGTGTTAGCTTAAGCTATTTATTTAAAATAATCTTTGGAGGGACATACACCTTGTATTGATACTTTTGTAAACTTTTCTTTATTGGTTAGTCTTTATCACATATTTTCGCATCCGAACGGGATTTTTTAAATATCTCTAGGAATTGTTTTGTCTTTCTCACTTATGCTTTCTTCTTCAAATCAATCTTTGCGTCACACGTATGTGGAAATCAAATTAAATGAAATTTATATAATAATATTTTAAGAATAAGAGAATGAGATGAGGGGAGAAAATGAGGAAAAGGTGTTTGAATGTGTTGTCTGATTATCACAAATAGGAAATAAACAGAGAGAGCTTTCTGAAACTTGAATGTTATATATGAGATGTGACAACTCTTTTGATTTGTAGCATCATCAGACAATTTTTTTCTTCTTGTGTTTCCATTTGAAGGAAGTTGAATCATCTCTTCCCCCTTGTTTTTCAAATCTTCTTTACTATTCCATCAAATCTGAACCATCAGCCCGAAAATTGCCCCGAAGAGCGAAAAAGAAAACAATGAGAAAATCAGTAAATCATACTTCTTGTTTTTTGTTGGCTTAATTCAAAAGTTTTGGTTCAAATATGATGTCATGCTTACTAATCAAACCATTTAGTAGCATGATTTGAATCAGATATTTTAACTTATCCAACAGAAGCAAGTTTTCATAGATATTCAGTGCGAATATTTATGAAAAATTTATAAGTTGATATCACTTATACTTAACATCGTATAACCCTTTAAAATTCTTATACATCTCTCTTTATTTTTTTTCGTCATGCCAATATTACTCTGTTGTTTAATTAATGATCACAAATGGCTCCGTGATGATACAATTCTTTATTGAATAAATTAAATTTGGGATGAGAAATAAAATGCATTTGATGGAAGTCACTGAAAAATCTGTTCATCTTTATGAACTGTTTTTGACTTGTCATAATTAGAAAAATGTGAGAATATGAAAATCTAAATTCAATAATTAAAAATATGAATTAAATTTCAATTAAAATACGATTTAAGATATTTGAAAAATTTATGCATCTCATTTAAAATGTCTAAAACTATCAAGACAAGCAATTAAGTTATATAACCAGACATTTACAGCTTCTGATCAATTAACCTACATATATATAACTTCTTGTACTTTCAGACATACATATATGAAACAATTTTTGTACATAAAGCACTGATTAACGGAAAATCCAGTTGATTTAAATATCTGCTTCGAAAAAGAATCATCATAATCTATTTGCTAGCAGCTGAAAATGATTCAAATATGTTGAATTCTTATTAAAAATTGCTTTATGCTCTCTGATGATGAAGAAAGAAGAATCATTTAGAAATGAACATAATTTTTAACGCATCATCGGTCAAAAAAATGTTTTAGATTAATCGTTAGAACCAAATGCGAAAATTCTATTTCTAATTCCTGCACATAAAAAAAATCATTAAAAGATTTTGATTTTGAAAAACCTGAAAATTTTAAAATCGCCAGAATAATCCACCAAAATCAAATCTCATTAAAACCTCGTTTTCATTTTTATATGAATCGCTGGATACCTTCGTATGTTACGTAACATTATAAATTTTTATTGTATCTAGAACATCTCATTTATTCTTTAAAAATACTTTGTTTATTAATGAGTACTTTGAAAGAAAGTGCAAGAAACCATAGCGAGACTAACCAACAGGAAAAAGTGATTCGATCGATGAGTTAAGCGGAAAAGCATGTACAACACAATTATGCGAAACAAGTTCTCTTTTCTATTTATTGGTTTTCGTTTTCGTTTACGAAATATTTTATAACAAAAAATAATCACCATCCCAAATGATTAAGCAATTTCAATTTTCTTTTGAGTTAAACTTTTGTATTCACGAGATTTTTGTATAAATATATGGGAAGTAAAGAACTTTACTTTCCAGTATTCTTTCTGATTTTGATATCTAAGCATCTCGTAAAAAATGATTCTACTGCAAACATTTAAGATCTTGATAATTTATAATTTTATAAAACTTTTCGTGTTGTGCGAGCTTTTATCGTCAAATGGTGAAAATTTCGTAAATGAAATGAGTGAAAATGTTGATGAAAAGAATTTTGTCCTTGACTCAGTCTATGATACAATGCGACATAATTATGAGATGAAATTACAGCAGAATTTAGACAGATTGAATCTCATCAGTGATATAAGGAATAAAAGAAACGTTAATGAGCCAATGAACCTGAATCCATTGAAAAGGAAATCGGAAGATTTCTATAAAAACCATCAATACGAAATTAACAGGAAAAATCCTGTTAATTTTCCATTAGGCTTCAAATCCCCACCAATACTATTGCCAATAACGACTCCTTCGGATCCACTGCAACATCGATCGGATTATGAGTATGAAGAGTAAGTTGTAATTTATTGAAATATTTTAACATTCACGAATATTTTAATATTTGTTTCGAAGCTGACGTCACAAATATCAACTTTTCATAAACTTCAATTATTTCAAGAAGCGACGAAAAAATAATAAAACGAACTTTACTGAAGCAAAATACGTTTCATTTCAACCTTGAAAGTGTGAATAATTTTTATTTTATCTCACTTTACAGATACCATAAGTGCCACGAGAAGCCAACTGTTCAAACTTTTCACATCGCCGCCGATCATGATCAAGAAAAACATAATATTCCCGGAATATCCACGGCAGAGTTGGGATTTGACTGACTGACTGACAGACATTGACTTGTCACTCAGTCAGTCAAACGACTTGAGCGGAACATTTATATGAACGTGTCCCAACAAGCGAATATTTTTGTTCGCGATTTTGACTGACTGACTGACTGACTGAAAGACATTGACATGTCAGTCAGTCAGTCAATCGAGTTGAACGGAACATTTGCCCATCTCTGATCCACGGTTCTTCTAACGGGACTGAAATATTTGTTTGGAGGTTTTGCGATCCTGGCACTACCTTTCATTGTTCTTAAAGCTTTGTTCCTTCCCTTGAAAGTTTTACTGTTCTTTAAAGCATTTGCTCTGATCAAAACTTTTCTTTTTTTGTCCTTGTTTTTAAGATTTTTACGTTTAAATCGGCGTTATGGAACTAATAATAATAACAGTGTTTTTGGTTTTCCTGGCAAAAATAAGAACAAACTTCAGACTATCAAAGATATTCTGAACAGTGATGAATTAACAGAAGATGAAATTGACTACAAATCTGATGACGATGAAGAGATCAGTAAAGAAAATAATGCAGGGCCAATATTTTTAAATAATCCTTTTAATTCATCTGAAATAAGTGAAGATTTTGTACAAAATTTGATAAAACTTATAAAATTGAAAAGTAAGAAATGGTAGAAAAAGTTCATACTTTTCATTGTAAATATTATTTTAAATATTAAGTAAATATGCGCGTGTTCTTATTGTGAACAGATGAAAAAAAAAAATTTCCACTCAGATGTATGGAAAAACCCAAAAAAACAATAAAATATCCATGAGCGTCACTTTAGTCAATAAACAACTGTTTCAGTTTTTCTGATAAGAGATAAATTTTAAACAGAACGGAATATCCAGACATAGAATGAATTATTTTGCAAATGTATTGGAACTGAGAGATGAGCAAAAATTTTGATGGAAAAGTTTCAAGTAAAAAATTAATCAAAAAATTATTTACAATTATTTGTCAATTATTAATGTCCTTTTATTAGCGAAATTTCTTCTTAGTGTTATTGTATTTCTTTTTCCAAATATATGTTTTCCCGGAATATCCTTTTCTTCTAACGGAATTGAAACATTCGTTTGGAGGAAAAATTTTAATTTTCTTTAAAGCTCTGATCAAAATGGAACTAGTATTAATAACAGTTGTTTTGGTTTTCCTGGCAAGAATAAGAACAAACTTCAGATTATCGAAGATATATTGAATTGTGACGAGTTAACAGAAGATGAAATTGACTTTAAATTTGGTGACGAAGACGAGATCAGTAAAGGGATTTACGCAGCTTCAATATTTTTGATAATAATCCTTTCATTTCATCTGAAATTCATCTGAACATTTTGTGCAAACTTTGATAAAATTTATAAAATGAAATAGTAAGAAATGGTAGAAAAAGTTAATACTTTTCATGTTACTATCTCAAATATTAAGTAAATATGCGCGTGTTCTTATTGTGGACCGATGATAAAAAATTTCCACTCAGATGTATGGAAAAACCCAAAAAAATAAAATATCCATGAACGTCACTTTAGTCAATAAACAACTGTTTCAGTTTTTCTGATAAAAGATAAATATTAAACAGAGCGGAATTTCCAGGCAACAATACGAATTATTTTGCAAATGTAGTGGAACTGAGAGATGGGCTAAAAATTTTATGATAAAGTTTCAAGTATTAAATTCATCAAAAAATATTTACAATCATTTGTCAATTATAAATGTCCTTTTATTAGCGATCTTTCTTCTGATACATTCTTAGTATTGTTTTCTTTTCCTCAAATATGTGTTTATGCATTTTCATTCTTATAAACTAAACAAAAACGGACAATTATGTCTTTTTATGGCTTGTTATTCTTTTTTTTCTGAAAAGATTACATCAAAGTATGAAGATATATACAAGTTGAGCTAATAATTATCAGGAATGTGTTGAAGCATAACTTTCCTATTTAGATATGATCTTTTTATTAAATCTTCATTTTAGATCTATCTACTTAATGAGTTAAAAGGGAGAAAACTGCAGAAGTAGTAATAATAAACATGATTTGACAACAAAATTCAATATAAGTAAAAAATATGTAACAATTTTCTTTTTGAAAACATAATCAAAATGACAGAGAAAATATGATGTACATGCAGTAAATGTCGAAATATTTTTCAGTGGGCAATTTAATTTGAACAATTCTAGAAGAATAGTTGCCGTTTCTCACGAGCACATTTTGATATTTAACAGTTTTTTTTATTTATTTAAATTTCAATTTTAGGAAGTTTACTAAAATTCTACCTCTGAGCAAGCGGTATCACTAGTTTCTTTACCATATACTCCCATATACATCTCAAATTTGATTTAAGTAAATTCAATTTTCGTTTTATTCCATTTACACCCAAAATACAATTATTTTTTAATGCTTAATATCTTAATCGGTCAATTTTGTTTCATGTAATTTTACATTAATTCCGTACAAATTTTATATTATATATTATGGTCTGATGATACGTTTAAGTTATACTAAATGCTTCAATACTGAAAAATTCTGATAATGTTTATTAAACGATATGGGAATAAATTCAATCTATTTCTGCTGTTTTTCAACCGATATGTTCATCAATCGTTTTGAGTTCATTTTTGATATATGTATGTTTGTATAGATATAGGAATAAGTTATAAGTTTCATTCTTTTTTGATATGGTAACAAAATTTGATTCATTGATCTTAATATTGCATTCTTTTCTCAACTCAACTTTATTTTAAATTGTTTTTAATTCAAACTCTAGAGTTAAGTGACAAAAACTGGTTAACTTCATTAGAAAAATGTTAAAAAATTAATAATAATCATAAATATTTGGGCTATGATTTATTCTGTTTATAATTCTAAAAAATGATGGATTAACTCGTTTCACAAAGTTTTCAATTTTACTTTTTAAGAGTTTTCTTTGACTTTAAGTGTATTCGCTCTTTGTTATTCTTATCACTACTTTTATTTCTTCCATTTCTTTACAGAAATACAAAATTAATCTATTTTTTAATTATCTTAATTTCAATGTATTTATGTATTAAACAACATATTTGATATTCCTTAAATTTTAGGAAGAATTTTTTCGTACTTTATTTGCCTAAAATATATAGGGCAAAAAAGTGAGAATAGATTTCAATACCATTTCTTCGCATGCCTTTGTTTCAGTTGTCTTTGAGAAATTATTTTCAAGCAACACATTTTCTGATTCTGTTTTATGTGAGAAATGGAATTATTTGTGGAAGATATTTTGTCTGACAGATAATTTAAAAAATTCTAGTTTCTTTGATTTCTCGCACTTCAGCCTCCAGAGTAAAACTTTTTACTTTTCTTCACAGACTTTAAAGTTTGAGCTTTACTTACAAATTTCATTTGCACAGATCAAAAATAAAAATGAGAAAAAAAAGAGTTAAAGTGAAATCGATTTTTAAAAACCTTTTTATCAAACCTTTTTTTATAAGAATCGAAAAATAACTAATGTTAGCGCACACTGAATTTATGAGATCATAACTGCTATATTTCATGAAAATATAATTTGTTTAAACAAAAACTAGAATAAAAATGTCAAATCTCAAATGTAATTGAAGTCTCATTTTGAGTGTATGATATCATTAATAATTTCAATAAATGAAAATTCATTCAAAACCAAAGTTTGAGCTTTATGGATAAAACCAAATACAAAATTTCCGCAATGTGTAACTAATTTTTATGTTTAGTAGAAATATCTCATGTGTTTGCTCCTTAAATTATTTGTTTTAGGGAACTTTTCAACCACTAATAACTGTACGAAATAATTTTAACCATCTTCAAAAAATATCTGAGAATATAAAACTTGTTCTGAAAATTAAATCTTTGTTCTGAGGTAGTTTCTGATTATAATTTATCATGTGTAATAAATGAGAAATTCACTTTCTTGTCTTATCATACTTAGTATTCATATTACAAGGTATATTCTGATCACGTGTACAATCAAAATGATTCGAGGTAGATTAAATATTTTTGTTATTTGAACTTTCATTTTATCATTTTATTTATTGGGAACTGAATATTTTTATTTCATGCAAATATCGTAATCATTGGTAACTCAAACTATTCTTTTAGTTATCTCATCTTTTCTTTTTTGAAAGTTCTATAATAATGAAGTATTGTTAATTTTTCAGCTTCCATACTGGATTGATAAAGATTCACTTGAATCAGGTGTATTTAGAGAAGTGCTTCCTTTTTTAGCCAACTTGGATTTTTTAGAATTTCCATTAAGCTTCTTTTTATGCGTATCCATATGTTTTACCATATGATCTTTACGAATGAATCCTTTTGAACATTGGATACATGAAAATGGTTTACTGCCACTATGTAAGCACATATGACGTCTTAAGTCAGTTTTATGATTAAATTGTTTTGGACAAACCTCACATTTAAACGGCTTTTCACCTCCATGTTTCGCAACATGTTCTTCGTGTGATGCACCGCATGGAAAACGCTTTCCACAACGATGACACTTAAATGGACGATCTCCAGAATGAAATGTTTTATTATGTTGAGTTAGATAGCAAGACTTGTTGAACACTTTATCACATATATCGCACCGATACTCTCCAGATGATGTAGCAGCTGCTATTACAGATGATGACTTTGTTGATATTGTTTTGGAAGATGAAGTTGAAGAATATGGCACAGTAGATGACACAATCGAAGGAGATTGTTTTGGTGATGTCAGAGATTCAGTTTGATTCTCATCTAATGATGCTGATATTGTTAAAACTGTAGCCGTTTGATGATATTGTTCCGGTATGTCTGGGGAAAATGGCGGTGCCATATCACCAGTGTACGCTGCTCCACCAGTATAACGAGACAAAAGTTGGTCATACGATGTCATATGATTTCCTGGTTGAATTGATGGGAGCGTCGCATATAAAAGATCTTGACACTGTGAATCAGAATCCATATCTATTTCCCCAATTGATTCTGGAGGCGAAGAATGAGGCAAGTTACCAATAGTATTGTGATAATTCTGTTCCTCCGTGATGGTTATGTGGTAGGAGGGTGTGTTGGTGTTGGTATGCAAAGGATATGGCGGATCCATTAAATTGTTGATGTTGCTGGTGACTGGCGATTGCATGGTGATGGACTGCGGTTGGGTGAAGTTGGTGGTGATGGAAATAGGATGAAGCTGGTGTTGAGGCTGATGATGCAATAGCTGAAGCTGGTGCTGTTGTGCCTGGTGATTGTCCGTTTGAAGTGTTAAGTTGCTGTTGCTCATTAGAATCTGATGCAGGCCCCTCGGTTGGGAGGCAACGTAAACTGAGGGACCTTTACGCAATAGAAAATTACGCGGTAGGCAATTAACGTATACGACACAAATGGCAACATATGAAGATAAACGTGTTGGAAAATAATGAAAAAAAAAACAAAAATAAATAAATGAAAATATTTATAAAAATAAAAGAAATAGTAATAATAATGTAAATTATATTCATCTTCAACTTAAATTCTTTTTTTTTATAAAAATATAATTTTTTTTATTAAAGGTTTCAAGACAAAAAAAGATTTAATTTTTTCCATTGGATTCGAAGTATGAAAACAACTTTCTCACTGTTTCATTATTATTTTTTTTCTTTTTTGCGTGTTTTCTCTCAATACAAAAATTAACGGACGAAATTTTGCGACTAATTCTAAGATTTTTCCCTTTCCGTTAATTTTTTTGTGCCTCCCAATTTTTGGGGAATGAAAATGCATCTAAACCAATGAAAGAAAAAGAAAGCTTATATTTTGAAAAGCTTCAAAATTCATAATTAAGTATTTGAAAGTGAATAAGCTAAGTTTTTTTCATCAATATTTCACTTTCATTTTCTTTCATTAACAATTGTAAATTAAATTCTGTTTATTTTTGTTTATCTCACCTGCTTGCCCGTTTCCCGGAGGATTATGCAGATTTGTATTTCCATATTGTTGAAAGTTCTGCTGTATTGTTGATGAACCAAAAGATGGCAGATTAAATTGTGGTTGATAATCCGGACTACGAGTAGATGATTCTGACACAATATTTTGCTGTTGCAATTGAGTTTGCGACACTGTTTGTACAACAGAAGTAGCATTTTGAGCTTGTTGTTGATTTGCTTGATTACGATTATGATGAGATCTTCGTTTTCCCATATAATTTGGATCACGATTAGGATGGTGATGAGCACTAATTGGCAATGTTGCTGGGTCAGGTTGACCGCTAGATTTTACAGCGTTTTTGTGTAATGTTGTATTGTAGTGACGTTTTAAATGTCCCGAACTTGTAAACCATTTATTACAAGCTGTACAATTGTATGTCTTAGGCCGCCTAGCTTCATTTGACTTCCAGTTTGCGCCTTTTGTACTAGGTAGAGAGCTAGTTGGTGGTTCAAAAGTGCGTTGAAATTGGTTCCCATTCTCTTGTGGTGTTGTTGTACTGGGAAAGTCAGAAGGTGAAGAAGTCAATTGATTACCATTTTCGGTGAGGTCATTAACAAAGTTTTTGCTGTTTATTGTGGAAGGTGGAAGAGTTCCACTCTGTGCAATTCCAGACGCATTATTGTAATCAGATTTTATGTGATTATATTCTTGTTTCATAGACACAGGTGTTGGAGTTAAAATTGTAGAATAATCTACAGACGATTTCATATGAGAGCTTGCCATATATTCGTTTTTAATTGGAGGTGTTGGCGGATATTCTGGTTTAATTGTTTGATGATATCCTGGATGTGGAGGTACAAAATGTGCATCATGATGACTCCAAATCATTGGATGACGTTGCATTGATTGCAATGGATGTAATGAGTGCATTGGGGGAAGAGAACCATCAGGATGTGGCGGATAAACCATCTTTTGAGAGTCTAAGTCAAGTATGTCAGAAGGTGGTTCATCTTTAATCATACTATGATGGTAATGATGTGACCCTGACGTGAATGGTGAGAAGTTTTGCTCATGGTCACCATTTTGAGATTTTATTCCATTTACACCAATATCAGCATGAACAACTTGACTATGTTCCATTAGTTGACCATCCGTTTCACAAACAACGCCACATTTATCACATTGCTTAGGTGAAGGCGACGGTGTTGGTTGACCTGACGGTATTTGCATCATTTGTACAGGAGATGTACTATTTGTTTGAGCTGGAGGTGTAGTCGATGAAACAACACGTGGACTTAGTCCATTGTTATTAGTTTGTACTGCTGTATTTGAGGATGTTTGAGAATTGTTGTTTGTACTATTGACGGTACTATTAAAATGAAGCGGTGGCTGTTGATATCGTGTTGAAGGCACTGTTTTGTACTCGAGTTGATGATGTTGTCCATTATTTAACAAATGGTGGTGATGTGGAACAGTAATATGATTATAATCCATTCCATGATAATACTGTTCATAATATGATGGGTAACCAGAAATATCTCGATGTTGTTCATTTGAAAGTGAAGACAAAGGCGTCATTGAATTTTGTGTTGTTGAAAATGGTGACTGCGTTCCAGAATCACCCTGAAAGTTTTGAGATGGGCCACTATCATTTGGTTGAGGTGTTGGTGGATTATTATCACTTGAATCTGCTGGTGCTGCTATTGTATTTTGATGAGGTGAAATTGCTTTTATGTGATGTTTTGTAGGATGATTATTATTATTATTTGTTTCCTTTCCGTCAGATGTAGGTGTTGTTGATGATGGAAGTATTCCCCATCTTGATTGGGTCTCATGATGTTGATAATGCATGTGCACTTGAAGAGATGTAGCTGATTCAAATAACAAACCGCAGTGTGAACACGAAAATGATGAAGAACTTTGACTGTGATTTTGAAGGGGAACCGGCGGTAAGGTTCCCCCGTTATTACTCATTTTTAAAAATTGAGTCTTTAGATTTGACGGTTATATTTATTAATAGATTTCACTTTTGATATTTCGTATTTATTGCTTTATAATTTCTCTAACTTTTTTCACTTCTTATCTTCAATGTAAATTCGAAAAAATTTTATCGCTCGTTTAATTCTTTCATAATTTGAATGGTTTTTGTATGTTCATTAAGTTTTTGTTGAAAATAAGTTAATTTTTTTAACTTTTCTAAAATTAAAAATTTCAGGATAAACTGATCAATTGATATGATGGAATAAGTATCAATTTTTTTTTTACTTTTCACTTCATTTTCACACTTTTAAAAAATTAAACATCTATTTTCGTTTCTTTTTAGACACTGATAACACCAGATTTTTACCGATTTCTTTCTCTTCGTTCTGATTTGTTTTCAGTATTCACCAATGAGAATTTTTTTGTAGTTCTCAGTCACAAGTTAACGCGCAGAATTTTTTTTATTTTTAAACCAAAAAAATTGTTAGAGAAATATCATATTATTGTAAGATGCTGAACATTGTTTTTTAAATTTCCTTTAGAATGTTGTTTTAACTCAAATCTTAAAATTTAACATTAATAGTTTTATGATTAAATGAATGTTATTTAAATAAAAGCGCCCGTTCCAATTCGGAGCAGGAATGCGAATGCTTAGACGTTTGTTGATTCTTCTGTTCTGAAATAAAAAGGGGAAGGAAAGGAGATGTGCAGACTAGAAATCTGGAGAATTTAAAGACGCACACTAATACTTCTACTTTTTAAGGAACAACTGTGTATAGAAGTATTTATAAATATAAAAATTTCGTAACGAAATAACACGATGCTTTGGAAGAAATATTCAAGCATCCATGCTCGTCGGACACATACAGAGACACACAAAAACATTAATGTTTTTTTAATGTTTTACTCCCTACCGCATTTAGTTCGAGGGGTGTTTCATCGTAGTGTTTTTGCCGACTGCCTCTAAATGACGCTTCGAAAAGCATTAGTGCTTTTCAAAAAAAAAGGTCAGTTTCCTGTAATTTTCTTAGTTTTTTCTGGAATTTGTCTAAGTGCTTCTTTTTTATAGTAGTGCTTTAGCTGACCAATTTGTTTCGATGAATTACCCCTTGCATTCGTCCATCAGCATAATCCAAGTGAGAGTGTGCAAATCATTCTCTCTCAGAAAACATCAATCCGAAAACATCAATCTACCCAGGAGTCCATCAGCATAATCCTTTAAAGGATTACCTTATAAAGGAATGCTAATATTTCTATCTATTCACATTTAATCTGTGTCAGCTAAACATTTTTAATTCAATCTTCACATTTTTGAACAATCCTCATGAAGAAATTTTCATAAAAAAATAGTCGATTAAAATATGATTCATACGATTGAACTGGTTTTTAAATATGTTTATTTATTGAGTTCAAATAATTAGCGACAATAATCGAATCTGTAATTAAAACTTTATAATCTTTCAGAGCACTTCTTGCAAAATTAAATCTATTAAAGAGGGAACGCAATAATTAATTATTTATGTATCTTACTGCACATGCTCTACAGAAATAAATTAAACTTAAACTTAAATTTGAAGAATCAAATGATAAATACACAAATAATATTTAAATTACTACCTTCAATATCTTTTTTTCTTCTCTACTTATTTCAACACAGATTGTTTTCCTTTTTTTTTATTCTTCATAATTAATATTGTAATAAATTTCCAATATCTAAAATGAATTTATTTTCATATGAGAAGTTTGAACCGCGATATCCCTGGAACTGTTTCTTGGAATCACTTGAATTTTTCTCACTGGGTTCCATGTGTAATCCTCAATTCAGAAATATATTGCGGAATTATATTTATTAGTTGATTCACTTTCATGAAATATAATGATTTCTGAAAAATGAAATCTTAGTTACGAAACGTGTGATTTTTTTTCGTTGATAAAAAAAAGTATAAATGCAGTTCGAAAGATGGCATATACTTAAGTTAATAAAGCCGAAATATTGGCTCTCGTTCCTAAATATATCATCATACCTGTTAAAAAAACCTGATCAAAATATGAAAAAAGACATTAGAACTTCTTTTTATAACTTATGAAGATGCATTTTCTTATTTACGAAACTGATGCATTTCCTTTATAATTTCATATACAAATACGGAATATGTCAAAGTGACACATAGCAAAAGGACAACGCTCACGGAAGAGATGGACTCAAGTTAAGAGATAATAATGGTATTAGCTTAATAAAGATAAAAAAAATTAAATAAATTTAAAATCCTGAAAAAAAAATCTTAGCCACGAAACATAAAATTATTGCACATTTCGGGATGGTTTGTGCTTAAACGAAGAGACTTATGAAGTTTCTGTTTTTTCAAAATTGAAGTATTTACGTTTAATGATGATTCAATATATATTTTCAAATAAAATTGTTTCGTATGAGAATTAAAATACTTATTAGTATCAAATTTTTATGATATTTTTCAATGGAAATTTTGGAAATATGATAATTAAAAAAAAGAGCTCTTCATATTTAAATATAAATATGTTGAAGACCTAACTTTTATTAACTTAAGACCTTCAAGTTTATTATCTAAAAAAAGGATTTTTAAAAATTAAATATAAAAAATCCATGCTTGTCTAGAATTTATTTATTTCTTTTTTTTTTAGGTGGAATGTAGACATCATTCAAAACTTCCCAAACCATTTCAACCACTTTTTGTATTTAAATTTAAAACTTTTTTTTAAATACTTAAAAATTTTATCTAGATATTTAAATAATTTCCTAATAGAATTGAATTCAAAAGAAATTATTGATTAAACTTAAATGTTACATTATGTAATCTCTTTGAATTTTTAATATTTTCATTGTTATTACAGAATACATATTATATTACCTTTATTTTGAAAGAATTTTAAAATTAACTTGCCATTAATATTATCTAGATATTCTTTTAAGTATGGCCATTCCAGATGATAATCAATGCATGAAAAAAAAACTGTTTCAACACTGCGAATCTTGCAAATAAAAAATCGGATGTACAAAAATATAATCTTTTTAAAATATATTTAAAATTTCGTAAATTTGATAATTCGCGTTAAAAAAAAGTATTTTTAATTCAAGATTTTATTTGAAAGGAGTTGAATACAACAGCATTCTGTTTCTACGGTTTTTTTAAATTGCTATGTGAGAAGAAAGCTTAAAGATCAATAGTATTTAAAAAAAAAAATTTCAAAGGTTTTATAAAAACTAAATCTTGAGTTTTATTAAAATATAATTCTTAGAAACTTCATTCGTTGTGTAATACTTATAAGTATATACTAATTAACAACAATCTTGAATATTATTCATGCATTTACTTTTTACTAAGATATTACCTTTTTTATATTTTCAAAATTTTTAATACAATTTTAAAACAGATATACAAGAGCTCTTAAATTATGTCTTATCTCAACGAAGGCAAATTATCAATTATTTTGTAAATTAAAAAAAAAGTGTTTTCTGACATGTGTGTGTACCATTTTATTTGCTCATTTTTCAATAAATACACTAAATTGAATAGTAGCTACGATGAATTTTGAAGATGTATTGTAAGAATTTTTACGTTAGTTAGAAATGCAATATATAAGGAAAATTTCCAAAGAAAAGTGGTTAGTTACTTGAAATTTTATTTCAAAGTACTATCAAACCATGAAAAAAAAGATAGCGGTCTTTATACTTTTATTTTATTTAGAGACAGTGCTAGCAAAATCACCGAATGTTCCAGGATACCAAAAATCAAGAAATAGTAAATATATTGACATCAGAAGATTTGGTGGTCCAGCTCCTGCAGCAGCCAAATCTGAGAGCTGTGAAGAGGAAGAAGTAGAGTCAGGTGAGAATTGTTCGAGCAAAACTATTAATTTTTTATTAACATGCAGGATGTGATTGATTACATAATAATAAGAAAATCTGCTTAAACAAAAAAAAAAGTGTGGACAATTAGAATGTTAAATGTGTATATTATTTCATTAAAAGTTTATTTTATTTCTTTTTTTGCTCGAATCTTTGAGGAAAGAAAAGATTAATTCGTTAAATCAAAGGATTTTGTGTGAAAATCTTGTAATAATTTATAAAAATTAATTCTAACAAATGATGGTAAAGTGCACAGTTTTAAAATTTCCGTGAAGAAATCCATTTTTCGTTTTCTAAAATTACTGATTTACAATAAAAATTATTATTGTTACATTTAAACTGTAATTGACAATTACTTTCAATTTTTTGATGAGAATTTCTAATTGTTTCTAAAACACTGAACACTTTTACCACTTATTTATTACTGTTAGTGCAATTATAATAATAAGTGACAAAAGAGTTCAGTGCTCATGTTTAGTGTAAAATATTCATTGATTATACTTATTACGCGTTTGAAATTAATTATGAAATGTCTTCTACGTGCCTACATAGTTTGAAATCCAAATTTTAAACAACTTTACATTATAAATTACAATTTTCTTTTTTTTTCACCCTTTTCTCATGATCATCATCATCGTCGTCAAATCAAGAAGATAACATTGAAACGTTATGATCCATCATTTGATGATTATGTTTCATCTTCAGTTACGTTTCAACTTGTTTAGAGTTTTTTTTTATTCTATAACCTATTTGAAACTGATAAAAATAATATGAAGCATATAATGAAATCTGTAAATTATTCTTCAATTTAATCATACTAAATTATTATTTTTTAACAGTCTCTACTTCTGAATCATGTGAGGAAGAAGAAGAAGAAGATGAAGATGATGACTATTATCCTATTAGATTAGTAAGTGAAAATTTACATGATTTGTTCATAAATAAAATATTTTTGTACGTATATCATAATTTTAGACAACTCGAAAAATTACAACCAAACGAAGCGGATCATTAACAACAAAAAGTCCAGGTAAGTTTTAGGTATAACATTTCATAATAATATCAAAAGAAAATTTTTATAGAAAAACAAAAAGATTAAAAAGGGGGGATTAAAAAGGGGGTTATTAAATATTTTTACATAAAACACGAGGTTTATTGATTCAAATCAAATAATTCTGGCTAAAAAGTACCTCCAATTCGTATAAATTTCTTTTAAAAACTTTGATATCTGAGAACAGTGAAAAAGAAGCTTAAGTGAAAAATATTTTCAATATGTTTATGCCATTAACTATCATTTTGTGCATATTGTGCAAATTTGTAATTTGTGTACAAATATTGTTACTTTTCGTGTGCGCGTATAGTATATGTATAAGATATTCAAAATTTTTTGCAGTTTATTTGAATAACAATTTGAGCTACACAAAAGCATAAAAACTTATCAAATCTGAAAAAGGTTCATAGGAATCTGATGGCATTTTTAATTGTTTTTTTTGTTTTTAATTTTTTATATTAACGTCAGGTGAAATTCTCAAAAGTTGTTTTGTCATAATGATAATACATGACTTAAACATTTTATAAATATTTTTCACTTAAGCTTTTTCACTGTTCTAAGAAATCAAAGTTTTAAAACGAAATTATTGGAATTGGAAGCACCTTAGCTTACAAATAAATAAACAAAATTAATAAATAAAAAATACAATATGAAACTGCAGTACTACGGAATTTACTAAAGACATCAGTGCTGCGGTTCCATTTTTAATCCAAAAACGAACAGCTTTTTAGAACGATGAAAATTTAGAGCTTGTCTGTGTAATTCATATAATTTTCCGAATTCATGAAAATTTAACGGACTAGAGTGAATAATCATTTAATGGCCATGATCAATTGTGGCCAGTATTCACCAAAAGAAATGTTTGTTAGAAGCTTTGAAAATAAATCTAATTTTAGACTACCTATTGGGTCTTGTAATGAGTTTAATTTCGCACAATAATTAAATCTATTTTATCAAAAAAATCGCTTCTGAAAACACCATTTTTCTTCTCACTTCAACTTTTAAAGAGTTAAATTGCACTTAAAATGCTTTAAACTGAAACTGTCCCTATAATTTTTATCCCTTACTTTTTCAGTTGTCAGGCATTAAATTAAAATAAAATAATAATTTTTGATGTCTTCTTGTGTTCGCATACAAATCTCATGTTTTCAAGTTTCCTCTGCATTTTTCCCTGTCATCATCATCATCATCAGGTCTTAGACAGGAACGAAAAAGACCCTCATCCAATTGTTTGAAGCAATCGGGAGGCCAAGGATATAAGTGGCAAATGACTACACTTTCCAATTTCAAAGGAAAATGGGTTGTGCTGACTAGTCACTGCCGTCTGTTTTGCATCCTCCTGATATTTATCGTGATGAAGACATCAGGTTGAATTATTCCCTGTTTTCTAATATTCCTTAGGAATTTACTCATTCAACTAAGTTTTTCTTTAAAGTCAATAGTTTTTTTAAAAGAAAATTAAAATATTTCAGATTTTCTCAAGAAATGAATACATTGTGGATATTAGATTTGTTTTTTGATATCAAAAACTCTTCGTACAGGTTTTAACATCGGAATCAATTTTTTTTCCTCTGAGCACGAAAATCTAAGTATGTCACAATTAAGTATGTGAACCAAGAATGACATATTTTTAAAAAATTTGGACAAGGTTGTTTATTTAGTTTCGGAGAAAATTATACTTGATGTTGTTTTGTTACTCTCTCTCTCTCTCTGTCAAGGGATATGTTATAGGGAGCAGTCCACTGTATATTAATATCTTTGATTTGTTTTGAAACAAGTAATGAGTATTACGAATTATTAAACTCTGAGTACGAACACTGGACAACTTTATAGCTTATTACTTTAATAAAGATCACCTTTAAAGATTACATCAGCTATCATCAACAGTATAAATTAAAATTCTTTTGATGATAGCTGATGTGCTATTGAAATGCGCATAAATAAGGTTATCTTAATTAAAGTAATAAGTTATAAAAGTATTCTGTGTTCGCACTCAGTATTTTATATTTAATTATGATGTATTAACTAAAAATTTACATCAAAACCTAATAAAAATAGTTGATGATAGAAAATTCATATGACGAAAGTAAGGTAAAATATATATCAGAAAATCATTTTTGACAATTGCTTAACTTCAGTTTCCAAAAAAAAAAACTATTATCAATGATGCCATAAATCTGTAATTGATACTTTTTGACACTTTGAAGTATCTTTCATCAATAGAAGACAACGAAGCGCAAATGATTCATTGTTCAGACTTGCGTTTTTTTTCAAATCTGACATAGAATGAGAACAATATTCTCAATATTCAAAATATTTACTGAACTTCTTAAAAATGATATAAACAAAGTACACTGTGTGATAACCAAAATAAAGCTGCTTAAACATTTCAAATTAGTCACAACAGTTCAGAAGTCATAATAAAACACTTCAAGATCAGTTTAACCTAAAGAGCACTGCAAAAGCGCATGCAATGTGGGAATTGTTAATGTTTTCTCAGCCATATGGAAATGGAACGCGATATGACTGTTTTGAATGCGGTTTTGTCACTTGTGCTATTCGGGGCCAATTCTCAATAAGTGTATACTGCAATTTGTTCCGCTAGTACCTGTTGGAAATTACACTCATAACTCATATGTACATATAATACAAAAAATCCAAACAGAAAACATAACATCAACAACCAGAGTAATGCATTATCACATTGACATTGACTATTTAATTAGTCACTGTAAGTTAAAAAAACATTAAGTCACAAATATACCAATCATACAACAACTTGGAAAAAAATCAAGCACATTAAAAAATGAACAAAATATATTTAACACACAGCAACAACACCACCTACAGAAACACCTGAAGACAGTTCATCAGAAACACCTGAAGACAGTTCATCAGAAACACCTGAAGACAGTTCATCAGAAACTCCAGAAGACAGTTCATCAGAGACTCCAGAAGACAGTTCATCAGAAACACCAGAAGACAGTTCATCAGAAACACCTGAAGACAGTTCAGTAGAGACACCTGAAGACAGTTCATCAGAAACACCTGAAGACAGTTCATCAGAAACACCTGAAGACAGTTCATCAGAAACCCCTGAAGACAGTTCATCAGAAACACCTGAAGACAGTTCATCAGAAACACCTGAAGACAGTTCATCAGAAACACCTGAAGACAGTTCACCAGAAACACCTGAAGACAGTTCATCAGAAACACCTGAAGACAGTTCATCA